TCAGAATATTGCTATCACCGGCATCATCATTTTATAATCATCATTATCATAATTCTGCACCAATTTGTGATATTACTGGTATTGCTCAATATAACCATAAATTGCTTGATGTTAATAAGGCCAAAACTGAAATTACTTTTTATTTTCGTTGCAGAAAGTACTTTTTATTTTTATTCTTTGTACTGAAGAAAATCAAATTCTTTAAACTTGAGTAATTGTATGAATCTTTTATACATTCATTTTATTTTATATGATATCAGTTTCAATCTTGCATCAAAATCACTTTTCAATTTTTCTTATGTATGAAATGCTTATGGTCGTGGAACGTGAAACAATATTACTTTGAAACAATATTGCTACTAGACATTTTTCTCTATGTCGACGATCGATTATTTGCATTCAATTAGCGCAATTAATTAATTTTTCCAACCATCAATTGAGAATTTAATTATCCGCAAAATTGTATTTTGTGGGTTATGCTATTTAAAGCTTAACCGCTTTATTAGGTGTTGTTTTCACTTACAAAATGGATAAAATTTCTGTTTTGCGTCATTTTTCTCACTCATTCTTAATACGAATATCAGGAAGCATTTATCAACTTATAATTACATTGAATTTAAAAGATCTTTTAATCTTAATCTTTATATCACACTAATGCGAAATGATAAATTGATGCAAAACATTTGTCACATCACATTTATCAATGATGCACAATTCTTTGCTGTTGCAAAATATATGCTTGAAATGACGGCTTTTCGTATGCACTTATGTGATAGATTATTGTGAAACAAATTTCTGTATCCACCCATATCAGTTAAAAAACATTTTCAAATAAAATTTTGATTTGAAATTAAGAGCAGAAAATGTTAAAAATAAGTTTAATTTTACAAAAAAAAGGGGGAGAGGGGGAGGGGAAAAAAACAGTAGGAGCGGTTACATGATTGGTGGAAGATAGTTTTGTTTGATGACAGAGTACTTCATTTCTTTTCTTGTTTTATCTGCCCCCTCGTTGCCCCGCTCTTCCTGCTCCCATCGGTATAAAATAATTTATTAAAATCGAGAATGCATGCTCCAAATGTTACTGAGAGATTGTCATAAAGATGAATTCATCATCCAATATACACTTTTTCCTATCAAAATTTTCTTTTTCTTTTTTTTGGAAAAAGAAAGTGTTTGAATTTTAAGCGAAAGTATCTTTGTTAATAATTTATAGTTTATATCAAATATATAAATTAATTGATAACGATAAGGGCGAATAATACGATAACATTGATTTTTTAAGTGTTTTATCAAAATAATTGATATGAAACGATGAATGATATGTGATGAATGATTGTAACTTTATATCAATAAAAAATTAGTATTGCTATGTCGATTTAAACTTTTATTAATTCATATTCCCTAATTATCAAAATCTTAATTTCATTTTTAAATTAAGCTGGAATGTAAATGTCGCAAAAGTGAATTGAATTCATCCTGTAAAAATCAATCAATTATCCTCAATATCGAAAAAGAAATGAATTTATTGATGATTGCTTCGTTGAATTATTAAATATTTATTAATGAAAAAAATAAAATTTCTGGCGTCATACCAAACACTTAGACAATTTTTATTACAATAAAAACTTTTGTTCTTTTTGTATGGGAATGACAATATGGGAGAGATTGATAAATTAAACAATTTAGCAACTTTTACATTTATTCTTCAGTCTTTAATGAAAGGCAGAAGTGAAAACAGGTTAGGTTAGAATTCAGAACGGTATGTTTAATTAATTCACCATACCCTAATGAGTCATTCATTGATATTTGGTACTAATACCAGTTATTATCGTATACACTCTTAACGCTTCAATCGTTTTAAGCGGACATTTTTATAGCATGAACTAACGCTGCTGTTCCTAAAACCGATTTAATAAGGTGGTGCATTTGTCATTAAACTTCTGAGAGATTAATAACAAATAAGCTGGTCATGTTAGCGGTCATCGGTGAATTTCAAAAACATATGCTTCATCTTTTCTCCCTCTCTCTCTCTCTCTCTCTCTTGCCTATCCAAATGAAATGTTTTTTTTTAAAAAGGCTTTAAATTAAGAAAAAGAAACATAAGTCATGTCCTATTAAGAAAATATTATTTTTGTCATCAAATAAATGATCTATTGATAATATTATTGTCCAAAAAAAATATATATATATTTCTGTTCAGATGTCCTTACGTTTTAAAAATAAACAAAATTCCTTTTTCAAAAAAAAGGAATGAAAAGTTTAAAAGAAAATAGAGGAGGAAGGAAGAAGAGAGATTGAATAGGTTAAATGAAAAAAGAATGAATGGGAAGGAATTAGGACGAGGAAGAACAAGTAAAAATTATTCACCCAATTATAAATTTAACCAACACGGAAGTTTAACTTTATGAAAATTTTAACGACAATAAATGTAGGTATGAATTTCTAGAATAAATTGTCGTGCAGGCAAGTAATACATATTCATACATATCCCTGTACATACATATACACACACTCACATACACACACCTACACACACATACAACACATACACACATACACACACAACATTAATGGACAAATAAGCGCACCTGCACCACGCCCATTCCATCTTAGACACAGGTAGTTTTCATGATAATCAAAACATCCATCCCTCCGAATGAACCAAATTGAGCAGTTGCACTCATTTGTTTCTTTCTTATAAAATTTCCATCAAATTCCATAAACTTTGTTCACGTACGTCCTATTTACATCGACGCAATTAACTTATCGCTCTGTCTGTTTGTATGAGTATGTGACCCATGAACTTCAGATTTTTTGACCTATTAAATATGATGATCAATCTTTTATTTGAAATACAAACTTAATTGTTTGTTTTTAACAATCCTAATTATACAAATAAATGATAGTATTACGATACAATATAGTAGTCGTTACTATACGATATGACTGACTGCTTTCATAGTAGCAATTCAATTTAATATCATATTTTCTTAACTTATCATTTTGTTTAATTTGATATTACTGTTTACCATTTAATAACTCATACAAAAATATCAATGTAGCATAAGTGAAATTAATCATTGATAATTAATTGGAATATAAGGAATAATATTATCAATGAAATAAATGCAATCAAAATAAACTTATTTAATTTGCCTAATTAATGATAAATGAAATGTCAAATGAACTGAGTTAAATAACCAGGAAAATAGTGTTGTATATTTTCAGTAAGACATGTATGTTTAAATCGCATTCAATGAATGATTTGCTTTTATATTTCAATTGAATAATGTTAGCATAAATTTTGCTGCTAGTTTAATGAATCTTTTTGTTTGCTTATTTTTTTCTTTTATTTCTTATTTTTTTCTGTACGAATTTTATGTTCCTATTGCATTTCAAATTAAAAGAAATGGATTATTTTGATAAGTGGCAATATTCCCAGTAATGCAAATTCAGGAAAAAAGAAGGAAATCAACGATTATTAATTTATACCTATCTCGCGGAAAAAAAGATGCAAATTTCGTGCCTTCTATTGCCTATTCTATTGCCTATTCTAACTATAATTCGTAAGTTTTATCAATTTTTCAAGACATTTCGGGAATGCATTCAAGGAAATCAATTATTCATCGGTAAATCAATCTCTTCTGTATCGAACTGTATAATCCACACATTTTTTACTAATCAGGATAGCAAATCTCTCAGTTATTTTATCACTACGGTTTGTTTGTTTTATTTCAAACTTACCACTTCCACCTATCTTTAGTTAGATCTGTTTAGTTGAGCAAAAAAAAAATTTGTAATTGTCAATTTTATTTGATAAACAAGAAATGGTTGTATTTCCTCTATTGCACTTTATAAAATCAGAACTTTTGAAATTATTCTCATCGCATCTCTTTTCAAATTATCACTTCAATGTTCTCTCTCCTTTCCCTCCCTCTCTCTCTCTCTTTGATACCATCAAAATTACTCTCTATTCATCATATCGCATAACGAATAATCCTTTTTTTTTTTCTCAATCAATATGACCTTCCAAATAATTTCCATGCCTCAATTCACAACAAATATTGTAGTCATTGGTATGTAACGGATAACGAAAGAAAAAAGAAGAAAAAACTTTGAATGAACACATCAAATGAAATTGATTTGAAATTGTCGAAGTATTAGTTGGGATGAAGGAAGTCAGCTGTAATCATTAACATTTCATGGCGATCCTTCTGTTGAAGGACATTTTGCGAAGAAATGAACGAAATGAGCGGAGAAAATGGAAGGAAATGATTCCTTGATGTACTTCCTATCCCGGGAAACATCAAGAAGGATTCTTCTGCATTGATTTCTTGAAGTATTTCTTATTTAGGGAGCTCTCGAGAAAGATTCTTCTGCAACGATTTATTTGGCATTCTAAATCGTTACAGTAAAATGCATCATCCACTCCTCTTTTTTTTTTCGATCTGATTTTTTTCCGGAAGTTAACATTTTATATCTCATTCTTCATCATTTGTCATCTTTTCACTAAATTTATAAATATTTGATAGTTGTTAGAGAAGTTTCTGAAACTGGTGGTCTTTATGTAATCATTTAACATACTGTATGGCTAACTGCTAACTGCAGAAATAGTGTTTTCAAAATTTTTTCTTTTTTTACAACCAACAATAAAACACCAAAATAAGTTTGAACTTATTTCTCATGGGTAAATTGTAGAATTTCAATTTTATCTGCAAAATTGTACCAAAATATTTTTTATCATTTGAATTTAACAATTTCAACTTCAATTTTTTTCGACGGCTTTAATTTAATTTAGTACCACTTTCGGCTCAAATTCCACCGCAACCAACTGCGACAACCGCAAACACATGTCTCAATGACTGTTTGAAACAAGGATCGCTTATTTTTGCTGCTTCTGATCTTCGTAATTTTCAAAAGATTATCCTACATATTGAAGAATTTTGCAAGTGAGTACTTTTTTTTTCACTTATTTATTTCCATAAATTTTTCCTTTCATAGTTAGTTATTATTTGAATGGATTTTTTTATTTCTAAAATCCAACAACTGTTCTACTGTTCTTTGCATATGCCAATATATACATAGGAGACATATATGTGAAAAAGTAAATAAGTAGTTAATCAAGTAACATGCGCGGTAATTTAATTTAAAACGTTTTATTTAAATAGCCTTCAGTTAATTTCAATTTTCAAGCCAAAATTGTAGAATATTCATATGTACCACGAATGACTTTATTCAAAAAAAAAAAAAAAAAAACTTGAAACTTCTTAATTTAGTATTCAATAAAGCGATAAAAGGGAGAGCAATCCTTTTCTGCAACTTTACAAAATATTGATAATAAAGCGGAAATGAATATTTCCATTGGCTCCTTTGATGCCATCGAGTACAAGTATATTTGACCCCTTCTAATATGCGTATTAAAGAAATACGGATCAAACGGTGCGTAGTATTTTGTCTTCTGAATCTTTTATGCTAGCTGTTTGCCCACAATAATTTATTTTCAAAAATTTGAACAAATAAGCAAACAAAATTAGCAGTTTAATAAATAAATATGATCATTTTTGATAATAATCAAAGATTCGTCCTTCAAAATACAATACAATTTAATCATTTCAACTTTGATTTTTTATTACTAGAAGGTAGCTAATAAAATTATTTCTGATTTTCATCTTCGTCGTACCTCAAACATTTTGATCAGCAAAAAGCCGGCTTAATTTTACTTTTAGTATAATTTATTGGAAATTACTCTTCTCGTTCTTATATGTTCCAAATTTGAATTTTACTTTTTCTTCATATTATTTATTTCTGACATCAAAATTGTCTATAATGCCATTTAAATGTATTCGATTGGGGGGAGGATAGTCCGGTTGAACAATTTTTTTGCAGACATATCATTTAGCATCAGTTGATTGAAGCTAAAATTTGACCTTTGTCAAGGATTTTGTCGGCCAAAAAAAAAAAGAAAAAATATATAAATAAATAATTTCTAATCACCTTTTGTAATTCTGTTCAATATTTAAATCATTCTTCAAAATTTTACTATTCAGTTGTTACAATTGTTAGACTTACAGGAAAATATGTTAATTTGTTAAAAGTCATCGATAGTTATAAGTGCATTTTTAGAAGTTTAACATTTGTCCTTGACAACACAAAAGGCGTTGTCTTGAAATTATGGCACCTCTTCGATGATCATAAATTAACCACTTATTTCATTGATTTCACCTGAGAGTATCAGGGACAGGGTGTATTTTTTTCTTTCAAAGGAAGGAATGACTACGCAACAAAGTGAAATTGCAGGAGAATTTCAAATCAACTAAACTGATACTGTGATTAAACATTGATTATATTCTTCTCTCCCTTTCTCCCTCCCTCTCTCCTCCTCAAGAACATACATTTAAGAGAGATCCTAGAAGCTAAGTTATGTTGTGATGCTTATGAGAATGTTATGATTACAGTACTCACAAGAAATTATTGAAATGTGCTCAATCATGTACCGGTGAAGATCGAGAAGAGTTGGCTAAGACGACATCACTTAGTGCATTTATTTGCAAGGATAAAATAGAAGGTAAGCGTAAAGGATGGAATAATTATTTTCAATTAATTTAACAATTTTCTCATCTAATTAAATGATCAATTGAAATAATGAATGGAATTTAACTAACGCGAAATTTCTGTTAAAGAATTTCGATTGGTCAAAGAATGCATGGGAAGTAAAGAGGATATCGATAGTGTTAATAAATGTTCCACTGAATGTGGACATCCTTCTAATGCTACCATTCAACTTGATTCATCACCTATCGCACCTGTTAATCCATTTACACCCATCGATAGTGTTACGCAAGTTTGCAGGTAGGTAATTTGCAAACGAAATTCTCATTTAATTTACGCAATTAAATAACAAACTGTATTGAAATAATTTTTAACGAAGTATTTTATAGAAATTTGGCGTATTTAAAACAACAAATTTGTGATCACTATTTTCATATGTGGCTTATGAATAGAAGATTGTTATGTAATGTTATTTATTTATCACAATAATTTGATATTACAGTACAATTGAATGTGTCATGAAGTGCTCTATAGTGGAATCTAATAAAATATGTGCTGGAAGCGGTTATTTGTTTAGGGTTTGCTTATTTTTTTTTTCGAAAATGTTAAATACAACGTTTTTTTTAACGGTTGCATTTTAATTTTACTAAAAGAAAAATTAATCAAAAAAAAAGCGAAAATGCGAAAAAATCGTGGTTTAATTTCGCTAACACTTTGATTGATCTGAATTTTGAATGAAATGAACAAACTAAATGCAATTAAAACAAGTTAAAAGTGTAATCTCATCTAATCAACAAAACTGATAAATTCTTTTTCTATAGAAACACTTCAATTAACATTAGCGAAGTGTTACTTAAATTTGCATCATACAAGTTTAAATTCAAATACAGATTTTTTTCCCGATATTCAGATTTTTTCATTGAAAAATACTGATCTCTTAAAATTCATATTCTAGATAACTTTAAAATGAAATTCATTTAATAATTATTTGAAAATCATTCATCTAATATCTTTAGATAAATCCATATAAATCATTCCCATGAACATTATCACTTCAGATCTGTGAGTTATCTTCATATAATCAATCTCTAAATTATCTATTGCTATAGTGAAAAAGGTTATGCTAAATTACAGTAAACAAGTTTATTAAAACCGGAAGACATGTTTACAGGATATTGGTTTCAAACAAGTGCTAGAAGCAAATGATCAATTGCAAAATGATGCATTTAATTCATCATCGGCTACACAACAATTAACTAAGACATATTTGGAATCACTTCCTCAACAATGTACTTATATTATCAATCCTATCAATTACAACACGGTATCAATTGATCATTTTCCTAACTGAATGTTTTGTCACTCTCATTTTATGACTTCATAGAATCTAAACTTATCAGTTCCTATCAGTTATGTTAATTCTTGCTTTCTATTATTTTCTTTTTCATTTTGCAGACGTTCGTACAGGATGAAGTAAACGATGAGACGAAGACAATGATGTCAGAAGAAGGAAATAAGGTAAATCACAGTTTGTCTACTTTTTCGATTTACCTGAAATTTAATCGCAATTTACGTGAAAAATATAATTGTACGTATAAAGTGCAACTGTAAGTGTAAAATTGGTTATAATATTTCAGGATAAAGAAGGAATGGAACAAATGACATCAGAAATGTTTAATACAAATAAGGATGGTGTTAATGTACGGATATTCGGTGCAGAATTTACGACCCAATCTACTGGAGCACCGGAAGATGATGATCTAATGACGAAGGTAATTTCCATCTTTTGAACTGCAAATAAAATGAATGCGGAAAGGAAATTTGAATAATCCATTCATTCACCCACTATGGGATAGAATTGAACTTTGAAAGATTGCAAAGATGAAAGTAACATATTTCTAAAAACATGCCATCTATCAGTTCCTTACGAGTACGTTGGGAGCATTTAGAACATGGGAAAAGAAGGAACAATGATGACTGTAATGCCGCAAATTGCAAAAGTAAAAAGCTATCATAATACATCGATGAAGTCTAAAGCATCGGTGCAAATTCATATACAGGTTCTTATCATTTATAGATAACTGTAAATGTAGATTTGAAATAATTCTTAAAACATTTCTGTCTTTCTACATTTAGCTTTCATCATTGCAGCCAATACCATCGCATGAACCAAAGAGACAAGAAGAGGAAGCGGAAGCGGAAGAAGAAGAAGCATCGATCATGTCAACATCAGTACCATCCACTTCAACGGATGATCGGTCGATGAATATGGAAGAGGATGAGGAGGAAGGAGCAACTACTGCAGTAAAGGAGGAAAAGCATAAGCCGGAACGAAAGGAGGAAGAAGAGGAGGATGAATGGAGAAAAGATGGAAGTACAACAACTGCTACCCAAGAATTGGTGAATTCTCCTATATTTTATTTTGATATTGATGTTTATTTAAAAATATTTCTTTTTACACAATCACAGAAATGATAACTACCAGTGCTTTCGTACGCAAATGACAGTATAATTTGATGATAGAAAATTAGATTTATCTTAAATTTTACATATTAAATTAATTCAATTAAATAATTGGTACACAGAATGAAAATGATGAAGAAGGAGAAAATAACGATGAGATGGTGCATAATACAATGCAAGAAATGACAGAACGTACAATAGTAGTTGTGAACGATGATAAGGATGATGAAATTGATAGCAATACCGTTAGAGAAGATAATGCGATTAAACAGCAACAACAAGAAAAGGTTTCCATTTCTATCATCACACATTTTCATTACCAAATTATTCCATTTGATACATTCTATCATATTCTATCGTACTCAGGTAATAAAATAAAAAGTTAAAGATAGTAATCAGTCAATTGAAAATATAAAATTTTGGTATTTCATTGCAGGATGCAACAAAACAAGGCATACGTGAAAGGATCACTCTATCATTAATATTAATCCTTCCTTTGACTTCATTATATTTTTCCTATTAATGAATGATACATCTAAATTTAGTCAAATCTAAATGTACATATAATTCAATTTGACGTTTTGACGTATAAATTGTATACAAGATGAAAAAGGCCCTGCAGAGTGGGATGGGATGAATAAAAATGGACAGTTTCTAGGTTAACCATTCATTCTTTCCCATCCTTTTAATTTTCGATGACACATGCAACCTATTGGGATATATGTACAAAATCGACAGTTCTTCTAAATATTTTTTGAAATAATAATAATCTTCTTTTTCTTTTCCATTTATCTTTACCAATCACATCATCCCATGTTGCACAAGTTGATTTTTTTTAGTTTGACCACATCTCCTAGTATCTTCTAGCTAACTGCAGTGAAAATTTTGGAAATAACTAATTGCAGTTGGTCCTCACTAATCATAAATATATCAATTAGTCTTATTTTACCTCTTATTTCCTCTCTCTCTTCTCTCAAGTTCCTTGTAGTCGTACAAAATCTCCTTTTCGATTTTATACCTACGATGCCTCTAATAGTTGATAACAAAAATTTATGGCTGAAATTTAAATAGAGAGAATAAAATGACCAAATCTTTGATTTGTTTGAACATTGTTACACAAGACTGATTCAACAGTAGCATATCTTTTGGCTTCTTAGCCTTTACTGGTAGTTATTATATACCGTAAGAAAAGAGTAAAGCGATAATGAAAACTAATTTTCGTCCTTATCAAGACAACACTGAGTCTAACATTCAAGATAAACAGAAAATATTCAATCATGGCAACTAATAGAAAAAATAAAATGTGAAAAATTTTCTCATCTGTTTAAGAAAAACGGATGAGAAAAGTTGTCCCAGCATATCATCAGAACGATAATTGAAACAGAGGGATTGAAAAGAGTTAGCAGTACTCCTTTTATCAATAATTCTAAGAGCTGACATCTATTCAAGGACTGAGTCATTTTAAAAAATGTGTTGGGATCAAGTAATCTGGTACGAGCCAAAGATACACTTTCAAGATGCTAGAATGCTTTCTTCATAGCAATGGTAACTTTATTTATTCTACAACATAACACACACTTCAGTAGCTTAATTTAACAAATATAACAAGAATTGTGTAACATCAACAGGTATAGTTCTCGGAAAATTCGCCAATATATGAATCCTCAAAATACTATCAATTGTTTATTTTTGTTCCAGTCTTAATCAACTTTACAATTAATGAAGGCTAATAGCTTACTTAACAACCATAAAGTGAACAAATATCTATCACTGTTGATGCTTGATACGTCGACGCTTTTCTAACTTTCTTCTCCACGCATTTTTATCTCCTTTTTTCTTCTCATTCAAACCAAATTTAACAACATCATTGCACTGTAAATCACACTATATGCCTTCTTAATTTGGACGTTTTCAACTCACCACGATAATGGTGACTCTGAGCAGTATAATTATAATGCATGCAACCATTAATCATACTCTATGTTAATATAAAATATTCGCCGATAAGGATTTACCTGGATGTAGTGTTGACAGTATGAAAGTTTCATGAAAGATAAGCTCTCTCATATAAGCAAAGAAAATATGAAAAAAAGGTTACCTTCTCGAACGGCTTTCCATGTTTTAATCTATCACGCTTTTCCGAAAGCTTCTTCCCCGCCCTTTTTCCTCGTGCTCGTCGTCTCTCTATCTTTGGTTCATTCTTTTCCTGAATGATTAGAGTTACTGTAAGACAACTATTTCTTGTATAATGAATCCACACGACTTTTCCCATTCAAATACAAGAATCCAGAAAAAATTTCTTAAAAATGCAAAATTCACTATGGGTTCAGCACCAGCATCGATGGTACCTTCAGGTGCCTCCGGAAGTTGAAAATCTAAATCATCTAGATCCGTTAAGTTAGTGAGACCACTACAAGTTGAATCCAGGTCCGTTAGAGTACCCTCATCGTCATCATCGTCATCATCAGCGTCATCACCATTATCATTATCATCAGCAGCATTCTAAAACAATAAAAGTATTATCGTTATCAACAAGATTCTGAAAAACCGAGATATTCCAATAGTTTGATATTTAATATTATATATCTTCATATTCAAAAAACGTGAATCCGCTTCCTTTGAAGCCAAATATTTAGGAAGCAACTACTCAGAAAAGATGTAAATTCAGGATCACTCACATTTTTTTCCTCATCGGTGATATCATTTGCAGCGCTGCATTCACTTGTTCTTGTTTTCTCTGCACCCTCTGTACACTGAAAATTTTTTTTCGGTTACAATAGTAAGAGAATAAAATATTTTCATGTTTGTATATCCTGCTTGCTTCAGGTCTCGTCACAAATCAGTTAGCAAATTTTGACAAGATGCTATCAGATAAGATCACATGTGTAGTTATTCGTTTTTTTATGCATCATCAGCAGACATAAACACTATTTTAAATTGCAATCAAAGAAATTTGTACCCTATCCTTGCATTTTTCACTTGCATTTTCGAGTTCACAGCCCGAAGGAAGAATATAGTAAGGTAAACGACCTCGCTGAAAATCATTCAACACAATTTTTGCTGCTGTGTTCCAATCAGGTTCACCACCCTAAACCATTTTTATATTTGTCTTTCAATACAAAAAACTGATGCTGAAAATAGCATAACATCATAAGCCGAAACACCATTTTAATTTTAGCTTGATCTTTAAGACAACAGAATGTTTCACCTTTAATAATCGGCCCGTCTTAAGGCAAATTTTTGTCAGAAAGTCATATATATCATTCCATGGGTCGATGGAATATGTCTTCAACAAATATTGTTCCCTTACTCGATCCAAAACACCTTGTACATGATTGATTGGATCTTTCACATTTTCAACACGTACCTGTAAGCAGAGATACTTTCACAAAAACTAAGCAGTCAATTAAAAAAAAAATTTTCAACAATGTAATTCCATATATTAATTGCACATGTATTAAAAGAAAAATTGCTTCAGCAAATGTATACTTCATTTGCTATCCATACCGCCACTCGAGTTTTTGATTTCGCATAATCAATGAGTTCGTTTGAAAAAGGATACAAAGCGTAACAAAAATAGCACTAGTCCAAATAAAGAAAAACCTCTTACGTTGAAATAATAATTTAAATATGTACAAATATAATTTTATAATAATCGAGGATCGGAAAATATTATAGAAAGAGAAATAATAGTGAGATTTGGTAAAAACAAAAATTTAGACTAACCACTCCTTTCAGAATGATTTGAGTCTCCGAATCTCCTTGCGGATAAACAACACCTGGACAATCAATCATATAAATACGCCGCATCAAAGTAACATACTGCCAGACCTTAATTCATGCCTTTTTAATTGTCCTTCGAAATAGAAAGCATTTCATTATAATAAATGATCAAGAAAATCAAAGTGTTTCTTTTCCCCATACAGATAATCATGAGTAGTTACTTTATCACAGATTTGGAAACAAGGAAATCACAAAGAAAATTACTTTAGTTTCTCCTGCAATTGGAGCAGTTTTACATACTCGTTTAGCTCGAAGTGTATTAATTATTGAAGATTTGCCAACATTCGGATAGCCAATAAAACCAACACTTATCTGCAATGTACTTTCATCATAATAATTCCTATGTACCACTGAAGAGTGAGGAAGTAAGTACCTGTTGACGATCTTTATGAAGATTTGCAAACTGTCTTAATAGGTTGATTAATGTTCCTTTCCCAAAAGAATGTTGCATGGATGCATGGAAAGCCACTGTTGGTAATTCCTGTGACAATAACGTCAGCCACTTCTTCTGAAATAAAAACACACTTTAAAATTTTATAGAATATTCCAAGAAATTTATCCTCCTAAGCCAATAAATGATAGTAATATCACAACTAATGAATAATAAGCAATTTGTAAGAAGTTCAGCTTCAAATAACTGTTTACATTGATGAAATAAAGTAAAAATTACAGAAGGATATAATAAAAATATCAACCAAAAGGCAATATACCGTGGCCCAGGTTGGCACCAGATCAACTTTGTTCAGAACCAAAATCAAATGCTTATGGGGTTTTTCCTTCCGTAAAAACTGTTCAATATGAAGACATCGAGTTCCGATTGGATCACGACCATCGACTACTTCTACAACGACATCGGATGAATCGATTACCTGAAATTTACAAAAAAAGTTCAAAGGAGTTATGATACTATTGAATATCACACATCCTCACTGCTGAAGAGCAAAATACCGGAAAATTGATACAAAAGTCACAACAAACAAAATACCTTGTATAGTTCTCCCCAAACACGATTGCTCTGTCCGGCTTTGAATAGTGGATTTGAATTCTCCACTGCTTCAGAATTGGCATTTTTTATCAAACTGCTATCAGCTGTCTCATCATACTGTTCGGTTCGCTGATCAACCTCTTCGCACAATGTCTGCAAATATAAAAATCAAGACTCCCTCGTAAGTTTTTACAAGCTATCAAGTACATGCATATGATAATTATAAGACAGCATACCTCAAGGTTTTCCATTCTTACTTTTGGTTTCTTTCTGAGGGCTTTTTTGCCAAAAGTATATTCAAAGCTCTCCGTGTCAAGTATGTGGACGCGCTGTTGCTAAAAATTTTTTAAAAACTACGCTGAATAACACTTGAGATGACTATAGAAGCAAAAGAGGTTAAAAGCATTTAATTGTTTCAAATTGTTTAGGCTGCATAACTCCAATTTGATTTAGTTGATAAAGCTGCATGTCAATCAATTTCAAGTCTGAAAAGACTTTTTTTTAGTAAAGTAACTACTAGCAATAATAGTTACCTTCGCTTTTTCAGTCAATAGCGAAATAGGAAGTTTAGTTTGTCGCATAACCACTTGGAATGGATCTTGCAATGCCTTTCCCAAATTCTCCTGGAATTTTTGCAACTGTTCCTGCCCAACCACTCGAGTATTTCCTAAATTTGATCAAATCATTTCGAATGTCTGGCAAATCAATATCTTGGCAAAAACAATTCCTGTTCCTCATTATCGTATAAACCAATTTATTATAATGAAGAAAAAGGTAAAGAAAGAATGTACGCACCAAACCATTTTCGATGAGGCTCAACCCTTGCAACTGTTCCAGAAGGCAATTTTTCTTGATAAGGTGCAGCTCTGATAATTTTACCTTTGGCATCTCTGGAAAAAAATATTAAAGATTTGAAAATTCAAGAAAGTTATTGCTAAAACTTATAATTTTGCTATCTGTATAAATTGCTGATGCAGAACTAACCTGACAGGTTTAAAATTCTTGTACATACGTAATCGATTGATTGTAGCTCTGGAGCGAAAATGGTCTCCTTTTGTTTTGCGGTCTGTAATAATTGATTACTAAAATGGAATTTTAAACTATTATTTATAAAGATACTACCTTTAATTCATAAGTTTTTAATGCAACCGACAGTTTGGATTACTAATTTCAACTATTTAGTTTCAAGCTTTACTATTATTTAGATAATCAGGCGCTGATTCTTTCATTAAAAACAAGCGATCAATTTTCTTTATTTGAATCTTGAATCTTACCTGGATTCAAACTGTGCTCGCCTTTTTTAAATGTCAAATTTGTCCTTGTTGTTTGGTTAGATCTCATAAACTTTTTATTTTTCATTGTCGAACCCACAGAACCAGAACGACTCTTTTTCAGCGACGATCGTTTTTTAGCCATGTTACCTTGCCTCTGAAATAAGCTTAAAAATAACATAATTAAGATTGTTCATTGCAATCGAAGCATCATCCGTTTTGACGAAATCGTAAGGGAGTATATAAATGTTAAGCTAATTAAATTAATTAGATAAAGTTTGCAAATAAGAAACTGCAAAATTCCGTGCAAATTACGGCTATCTGATTAAAAATCATGGTGTTTTCTAACTTGCAATTTTTTTATACTCTTTGATATATAAGAGAGAAGCAAGGAACCAAAGAATCATGAGATTTACACATAAAAGGAAAGTTTTAAAATGAGACTGAAGTCCAGAAAATCAGCAAAGACTAGAAAAAAGAAAATTCACTTAATAAATAATAGGAATCTATTTGCCAATAAACACGGAGAATAATATGAATAATATACAAAGTTAATTAACACTAATTAAATGAAACAATTGTATCACAAAATTCTATATACTGACAGCATCCGTGAGATAACTTGAGTTCCTATTGCCGACAATTAGTTAACAATCAAAATAATGTACTTCAAATTTTGAATTGGCTTTAATCACATCAGAAAAATAGCTTGGAAAGTAACCGGAGAACAGTTAATGAATCAGGTAAAGAAGTCCAATAATAAATAACACCGAAAAAATCTTAATCCAAGTTAATTTCAGTAGTATTAGAAATATTGGGGGAAATGAGGATGTCATTTGCATTGCTGTCACCCTCTTTCAATGCTTGTCGCTGTCGCTCAATCGCCGATTCCACTATTACTTTCTGTTCATGCTGGCTTTTGCGTATTGCTTCTAAATAATCGTCGTGTTCCTATAAAATTCGACTTTAATAAATTATCACTTTAAAAGGATAAATTATTTCCCGACTATTCGTATTTTTATAAAAAAGTACAAAGCAACTTATTTGCTAATAAAGTGAGACAAATCTAAATTTTCTCTGCACAAAACGAATGGGCCAAAATCAGCACAGCAGTAAGAAATCAAGAAACAAATAAGTAACCTTCCGGTAAAGAGGGGCTGCTAGTTCCGACAATGCAGACGTTGTTTTCTCGATCTGTTCATTGAGCTGTTGCAAATCATTCCTTGCTAATAACATTTCCAATGGGACATCTGCTGCTTCCACTAACTGCAACGCAGTTAAATAGTGTGTTTAACATCATTTAATTCATGTAACCAAATAATGAGAGTATAAAATACACGCAGTATTTCAGATAATGTACAGTTTCCAATCTGAAAAGTGCTCGTTGGAACTTAATAAAATTTACCAAAAAATCACTTCGCTTTAAATTGCCATCAGCAAATTTTACGATTGCAAACGGCGATGAGGAATGATTTTCATTCAAGAATAATATGAACCGAAATTAGTAACGCAAACCGAATGACTAGCTCGAATGATACCATCAAACTCTTTGTGTCGTTCATTGCGCTCGAAATTATCCACAAATTTGTTGATTTGATTTCGTATCAAAGCAGTATGATCAAATATTTGCTCACCGACCAAGTTGATATCCTCCATTAGTGTAGACAAAGAAGCCATTACTAAAACAGTGATATCATCAACGTTGCTTATCGAAAAGGATCACAAAAGCTAGTGACATAGCAAAGTCGATTTTTCCTTACAGTTACAATTTTTCACTGCTACCCCTACCCTTATGATTTAGGAAAAATCAAAAAATTATAAAACATTTTCCTTTTAGGAAATATCACAAATTTTCAGCTCCGTTAAAATATCTGCTGAAAAATTCGGAAGCTCCCTGTCAACACCATATGCCACTATTAGATTATTTCAAAGCATGTTTAATTACAATGATAATGAAACGAAGCTTCGGACACAGATTTTTGTGAAACTTGGTTCTCGTGCTTATAATTCTCACCACCACCAGCCAAATCATATTTTTATGATCTGATTTATGAAAATTTCTAAAACAACATTTCTCGAAAGAATATAAATGCTGCAATATAAGAACCAAATTGTAGTCAGGCAAACCTGAGATACAGCTCTGCAAGTACTGCAACATGGAACATCCTAAGATTCGACTTATCACCATTTACTTTAGGCTTACTATTTTCATAGTAAATCAATTCTTAAGGTTTATGATTTCGAAGACTCAGGATTCTGTTAGAGAATTTTCAATAATTATACCAATTTAGCAATGAATGTACATAATAACGTCATCAGTAAGGTTTCGTAATACCTCTTCTTGAAATTGTCTTTTAACAACCATTATAAAATTTATAAAACTTCTGCGAAATTCTGTCAGAATCAGCAAAATCAGTCTACAATATAATAAACACAATATTTTAAAAATGTAGAAGACATTGAAAATGATAAACATTAAGGCGAATAAGCAAAGGCCCGTTGACATTTACGGAATGATAACATCTTATCATTTACAATTAAAATTTTCACACTCTTTAAGAGTACCAGTTAGCATGGATAGATATTTCTGGTTAGCTGTAGGTAACATAAGAAAGAAAAAATAGTACATTCTATAGTAAAAGGAAAGAACTTGTCAATTAATAACAAAAAGATTTGAAAGTCCTACTAATGTTATGAAAAGGTAATGTTATCAAAAGTTATGAAAAGGTTCATGGAATGCTATTCTGTCACTTTATATTTTTCAATGCCTGCTTCGCTCATTACACATATATGTCCCAAATCCCGGAACTTCTGATTATAGTCCAGTCCAAAACCCACAACGAATTTATTCGGTATGTCGAAGGCAACGAAATCTTCTTGCACCTGAAAACCTAGATAGTGATAAAGCATAGCGGATTCATAACGATGCAGCGAAACGTCATAAAAGTCAATATTTCCTCAGACTGTTATAAAATACAATGCAAAATACCTTAAATTCTCTTCCACGTCTCTTAGACAGTAAAATCGCGGTCCATTTTTGTTTCACACCCATTTTTTCCAACATTTTTAGAAGTTGTGACATCGTTACGCCACTATCCACTATGTCTTCTACGACCTGTAATAGTATTCCAGCCAAACCAATTGCAACATATGCATAAGATTAGCGCAAATTATTATAGCTTTTTGTTGGTAGAAATAACTCTGTGACTGCTAATTTCGGCTTCCCAAATCTAACATGTTATTTACGGAACTTGCACTTATGACAACACATCCATCAATCCAATTTTAAGAAACGCCTTTTGTTTAAAACAGCATCCAGAACAAAGGAACAATAGGTATAAATTCTTACCACAACATTCTTATTTTCCAGTTGCTTTGCATTCAAAAGACCAATCATTTCTAACGTTTCAGAACGTTCCGAATTCGTATAACTCTAAGAAAAATATAGCATAAAAATCTGCTGAAGGATAATTTGACCAACATAACAGAATGAGGTAGAAAAATCACACAAACAAAACTATATATAAATCATCAGCAAATATCACATAGTACCATTAAATTGAAGAATACTTCTCATTGAAAATCATTCTTCTTTCTTGCTTATCTGTCATGCAAAGAAAAGTTCTCAATTCCTTCTAAGATGTAACACGCACACCGCTATCTTTATGCCAATAATAAACATTAAAAATACAACAAATGATATGGGATTGTTTTTCAATTTGCTACTGTAAGACAATGAAATGAAGAATTAATTTAAGGATAACCTTAACTCGGATGAATTCCACCTCCACCGGATGCTTGCAGGACATCCGAACATATGTTAGCTCCTCAACTAATTCCGTAAAAAATCGAAATGAACCTTTCAGAATACAGAGTATTACCAACGGCTGCAACAAGTCACATAAATGTGGAAAAAGTTAATTTTAGAATAAATTTTTTGAACACGAATCTTTTTAACAATTTTCATCAACGACTTCTTGAATATTTTTAAATGAAGAAGCACAGAAAGATCTAAAGTGAATAATAAAGCAACATTACTTCATCACCGATAACGTGGAATATTTCTCGTGCAAGACATTTGATTCGATCACTAATGAGACCTTTTGGTATCAATACTGATTTCAGGTCACCGTAGTAACAATTTGGAAGCATGAATGACTCTAATTTGAACTGAAAATTTCAGCAGATCTCAAAATAATATATCAAAATAGATGTAAGCCGTAAGAGACGAAGGGAGATATAAACCTTGCATTATTTCTATGAATCAGATTACCTCAGTGTCATCCGGAATTGAAATTCTTGACGATTTTGAACCTTTCTCCATGGATTTTCCAATAGACGTCTAGAAAATTAAACGGTACATCTCTAAATAACATCGGAACTTAACCCAGTCTAATTTACGACAAATTTCAGAAAAAAATTATAAATTAGATCATTCGTACTCATAATATTGAAAAAACCAACATGAATAACCACTTTATTACATAATAAACAGACTACTCATGAAATCCGCAAAAAAAATTCATTAAATGACAGTTGGTATAACAAAGAATTCGGTTAAACTAAATTAAATTATAAGATTGTTTGATCTTTCGCGCATATGCTTGCAAGCAGTATAAGAATGTAACATATGCACCTAAAACAACAAATTTAGTAATTATGATTTAAAATATCCGGTCAGAAATCCCATTTAGAACACTCCTTAATAATCTTTGCGTTGGTTTTTTTCATTCGAACTAATGCGTTGGCTTTTCCTTTCACTCGTAAAGGTTTCTTTTGCTTTGCCTTCATTTCTGCAGCAACGCGCTTCCGGACTACCTGAAACTGCATGTCTTCTCTTAACAAATTCGAAATGTTTGATAATATTCAGTTGAGGATACTAAAATATCATTAGAAATGAAGCCGTGGGTTAGTAAGTATTGAATTCCAATAAAAAATACTGCAAAGGTAAACGAAGTACACAAAAGATTAAATGGTAACATTAATTTTATTGATAAAGTCATACCTCTGGTGCTATTGTTGACCCCACGCTAAAAAGAGATTTCGTTGTCACCCTATTTTCAAGCAATCTCTCGATTCGTTCATCATGTAATAAATTGTTTTTAAGCCTTGAAAAACTTCCAGTGAAATCAGTTGTAACCACTCCTAGAATGAAGTGAGGTAACATGATGTTTTTCTATTGATAAATTGATAGATAAAACATGTTTCACTAACGAATTTCATCCGTGTGATGCAAACATTCATCCAACGGTTGACAATCATTAATATTCATCTTTTCCAATTCATTCTGAGCATTCTTTATCCATTCCTTAAGCCTACAAAAACTTCGTAAAAAACATTGGAAAAAGGAATAGAAATCAATAAATATAGTTCGAAGGTATCAGCAAAATCGAAGAGTAGGATGAGATGTAAGAAAGCAGGAGACAAAGACGAAAAAAAATTTCATTACTGATAGGTCAGAAGTTTAACCAAGTAACAAGAGGGTAAACTATACATACTACTTTGAAATGATATGTAAATGTGCATTTCCGTTTTAACAATACAGACCTATTATTACAATCGTTATTGAGCATATTTTTACTCGATTCATCGACGTCAGTCTGATAATCAGATGAGTCTTCGATACTACTATCTTCATCTACGACAGTTGAAGAGTTTGAAGAGTAGTCATCTTCCTGCACTTTTTCCACAGCCTATAGTATTCCTCGTATTATAATGAAAACTTTTAACTCTATCAAAATTATGTATCAAAGAGAATCTAATGCACTACTGCGAAGTGTTTCGTACCAAGAAATAGTTAGAATTCTGTGACTAAATATGACTAAAAGATAACCTTGTTATAAACTTTTGACATGCGAGGAGTAAACCCGCTAGCACTCACTTCCACATCAAGATTGTATTTCCTCGTCATTGCCTCGAACTTCGGGTACAATTCGCTTTCGTAATTAAACCTCAAAACAAATATTAAGACTTCAGGCTCATTAATAAAAAGAAAAAGAAATATATGGTCTAAATCATAGCTCTAAGCCAGTTTTCAAAAATTGAAAATTTACCGCCTTCTAAAAAAAGTCCGGACACAATCTACGTCCCTATCAAAGTAAAATTGCGCGTTTGGATGATCCACACTGATCATTTGTGGCAAATCGATTAATATTGGTTCCTCTTCCTGCAAAAGATTTTATTTTTATATATTAAATTTTTAAAAATAAAGATGTTAGTGAACAGTGCAAAGATTTCCTTACTTCAGTTAACATAATATTGAATTCATTGAAATCACCATGTATAAGCCCATAACGCGCTAAACGTACGATAATGTTCATCAGTTTTTCATACAGTCCTTCAGCCTGAAACGGCAGTAAACGGTGACTATTCCATATAGCTTACAGATAACATATAAATAGCTAAAAAAATATTGTTTGTTAATGTTCCAGTTTTCCGTTACGATCAAAACGGCAAAAAAAGTCTGATGCTTACATGAACCTTATATTATTGACCTTAATTCTATGTCAAATTCTATCATTTGTTCACTGTTATGGATAAGAAAAGAACTTCACGCTTCCTAAATTATAAGCAAGATTGCAAATAGTAAGCTTACGGTGATAACGAGACGATATCCTCAGACTATTTTTCAATCAATTATTTGCATTAAGATTTTATCTGTTAGCTAAATTGAATTCCTTTTTAATTCCTTTTTCCTAAGTAAATAAAATAATCTTAAGCTGGATAAAGAAGGAAAGGGAAAGCATACATACATCGTTTACTTGTTGCACATGATAAAGTGTTGTACCGTTGATTAAATCCATAACAACCACATGACGACATCTATCGATTGGCTTTGGAAGTGGGAAATTATGACTGTGTAGTGCTGCAAAAAAATGCATATAGGTAATCTCTGAGACAAGAAAGCGAATGAAATTATCTCTTGACGTCAAGTTTACTTACATCGGTTGAGAAAGCAAAATTCAATTTCTGTTAAACGAATAAAGACCGACAAATACCTTTCAGGAATGCGAACTCTTTTGCTGCAGCTAGACTGGAAAGATAAAGCCAAGAGCACGATTTTCGCTTTTTGTGATAATCCCTTTTTTCTTTCAACTTCCGAAATGACGTCCTTCCCAACCTATGGAATTTCAACACCAGGTCCTAAAAATGCATTTGGGAAGAAGAAGGAGAAATATAAGCATAAATGAAACTATTTAATATAATTAATGATTCGTATTTTGTTACGGATCTTATATAATTTATTTTTTCGCTTTATAGCTCCCAAAGATCATGGAATTATTTGTTTCCATATGTTTGACACTGAGTAATTATCAGCAAACCTGATGACGGAAAAGGCTTCAAAGCAATCTTAAAGAAACTAACATTAAGCTTCGGATCACCACCAACAAAAACATCAGATTCTTTGCCAATACCTATTTGATTACCAACCGCTCCAACTACTTCCCGAGCACTGAGAGCTTTCAAAGCAAGAATATCATAACCAAGTGTCGTTAAACGATAACCATCATCTAAACAATGTTTTTTTTGTCGGTTTTTCTTACAACATAACAGCTATCAGACAGATTATATTTATGATTATCAGCATTAACAGGTTTCTTAACTTCCAACTATTTTACGCCTTTAGCTAGAAGATAATAAATAACTCAGTTTATATTTATTCTGCCATTACAGACAATTTATATGAAGTAATAATTTACAGTGTTTCCCACGTTCATGTGCAACAGCGTTATGCTTTGCTAAATCAGTAAGAGTACGTAAAACAGCACCGCGGTGTATTCTAGCAATTGATCCAATCAATTCCAAAGGAACCAATTCATGATTCTTCATCCCCATTTCAACCTATAAAGAACTGCATATATTATCAACAATGCGATATATCAACCTGATCTTTTTAATAAATTTGTGATTATCAAATTCGAAAAAAAAATATTATAATGAATATATTATAATATACGGTAGGAAAATATATAATAATATAATATGATAGATAATTGAGTAAAATGAATAAAAAAATACAAACCGCAATAAGGACCCGGAAATGTTCCTGTTCCATATAACGAATCACTGATACATTCATACGTCCCATATCTGAAACAGACACATGCAATTCCACCATATCATAATTATGGCGATAAATGTAGAAACATTGTCCGTAGCATTTTTATAAATAGCAACATTATGTGCAAATATGCGTAATTTATAATACTATGAATTATGGTATAATCTTCTCATGTTCAGCTGTTTTCTACAAGTAACTGAAATAATCACATATGACCCTTGATCTCCAAGTCAAACCTTGCAGCATTTCTACTAATATGCTAAACTATCTTATTCATTCCCGTTCCTATTCAAAATGAAATTATCCACTTCCAGTTTCATCCAGTAAAAGCTATTATAAATTGATGCAAAGATGTACGAGGAAAAAACACTAATTACACCAAACCATCTTAGATTATTTCGATAAGAATGCAAAAATGCAAAAACTGTTACTTGTGTACGGTTAACTTTTGAAACAAAAAGGAAAAAAAAACTCAACACCTCCCCAATATATTATGATCCGCCAATATAAAAGGTCAACAAAAGCAACTCTATTTGAATAACATTATTACGAATTCAATATTTAAATTAAAAGAAGGACGATTCATCTTCCTATGGACCTGCAACCCCCTGGTCCAAGTGCCAGTAGCTTAAATTTTCGGAAGAATTGAACTGACTCGATAGTGACACCATTTGATTTAAAAATACACCAAGATAGTAAAAATCTAAACTGTAACGGAACGTTTGTTGATGCGAAATCCGGGACAAGGCTTGCATTTTACATCTTCTTTTCTTTCATTTTTTTATCCATTACTTAATCGTACACATTATGAATATATTGAAATGTGAAATGATCAATCACATCTTGTACATTTCAACATAAATTACACCAAACTCGAAAGAACATAGCAAAAGTACAATAGCTAGAGGAAGTGCTAGGGTACATACAATTATTTTGATAGCAATACCCATAGCAGTATATATTGGAACAAAATTCTGTGATCGAAGATCTATGCCTGCAGTATTGTTCAAATTAATTATAATAATTGTAGGGAAGTAGAAAAAATTTGTAAATATACAAAATTTCGAAGTTAAATTAAAATTTTTTTGTGAAAACAAAACTAAAACGCATGAGATTTATATCAAGAAAAATATTGGAATAATCATGAAATTTAGACAAAGAGATACATGACATAATTTCAGTGCAATTAATTAACGAAGCTGGGCAACTGCGAAAATCGACTACACTGGGACGATATACATATTGATATGGAAACAGCGAATTTTGATTTGCCCGAGTCAACGTCAACTCTGTATTCTTTTTTTCACTCTTCTGCCGTTGGCTCCCTCCCTCTTTCCTTATTTTCTTTTACTTTTTCTTTCAATTCAAAAAAGCTATCTAATGACTTTAAAACCTGTCCAAGTACTTTGGCAATACAAATGAGGTTTTGCTAGAGTATAGATAAAAAATAAAATTAAATCACGCTCTATTAAAATGAGAATGAACTGGTCTGTAAGATCTATTAATTACACATAAAGGCAAGAAGTCAGCAAATAAATTATTGCTTTTATTTATTTACTACATATATTAGTTCAAGGAGAAGCAAAAACTCTGTAAAATTAGAAAAAAGGAAAAAAAGCAGAATAGAACTTATCCTCAGAAATTGTACAGGGAAAAAAAAATTGATAATTAATGTTCCCCTCTCCTCTTCACATGGTTTTGGATGAATCAGCCAATTTTAAGGCTGACAAATGCCAAAAGATACATGAGCTTTTATTTTATAGCAATTATTTAGAATATTGATGGCTATAATAAAACACTGTCGTAAAAAAACATATAACTTCATAAATTTAGTAAACAGTATTGATAATAAATGGATTACACGTCAGTTTTTCGTTTCTTTGCAGCCGGCCTTTCAAAGTTATTTTTCATACCACCAGCGTGTTTCACGAGGAATTTACTATTCAGTGCCGTCGTGGCAGCCCAAGCACCCTGATGATCAGTCGTATCCTCTGCAGTCAAATGCGTCCACTTCGAACGACTAGCTTTTCCAAAGTTTTTAACCTCAAATGATCATTTTCTATAACTTCTTGAACTGAATTACTCTTCCCGCAAACAACTTATGACAATCCTATTTACATAATAATTGTGCAATTACTTTCCACTAAGCAAACAACTATTCTCAAATTAATATTCAATGGATAGTATCTTTCACATCTGCATAGCACCAGTAAAAATTTATTAATTCCTTGTAATTTGTTTCGGGATCTTCATTGAGCATTACTTACTTGCGCTGAACAATATTTCTATCTATCACTGCCCTCTTCCACTTTGTTTATTTTTTATTGATCAAAAAAGATCAAATTAATAGAATTATTTAAATATTAAAAAATTCTCTTATGGAACAAGCTGAAAGGTTCAGCCAATTTAATTGAGAAATGAAGTATATTTTTACCTGCATAACCTTCGGAAGTACAGATTTATCAAACTGGTCGTCAAGTGTTGCTTCAGCAAAATCTCGTTTGAATATTTCATCTTCTACATCCAAGTAGAATGCTCCACGATGGAAATATTTTTGAAGGAATTTATATTTCCCCTTCTTTTGCTGAAATTTGAATTGAAATCAAAATAATAATGAGTATTGAAAAGTTTATTACATCAACTTCCCAAAAGCAGATCTTTTCATACAATCAGTGTTCTAAAACAGATAAAAGACGTCAGTTTTACATGTCAGCTCAATTCAGTTCTATATCAGTTCAGTTTTACATTTGCAATTTTTTTTGGAAAAAAGTGGGCCTGTAAATCAAATGTAACAGAACACCTGATATTAATTAAAGGGTTGTTTTAAAGAGAATTATGAGAACAAGTACAAATACTTGTTGGAATTCACGAATTTGAAAAACCAGTGGAATTAGAGCCATGTAAGCAGAAATAGCTAACCATATTTGTAATAACTTTTGGATTCATTCTTAAATATTGCTTGCGCTCTTCTTCTGTCATACCATGTATTCGATCTAATTCTGCTTTTTCCCGAGCAAGACTGCAAAACTTTATTATAAGTATATTCCCGTAAATAATGAATGAGGTGTATCCAAATCAACCCTTCTCCGCCAAACAATTAAATTCTTTATAAAAATATTCCATGTATTTACATCAAGAATATCTGGGCATTAAATAAAGTGAAAATCTGATAACTCGATTTTTTTCCATTCACAAATGGATCAGGATGCTACTAAGCACTGTGCAAGTGCTTAATATTAGGCTATAAATATTGTAGATACTCTACAAGTCTTTTGCAGCCAATTGTCCGGTTTGTAGATTTAGCAAGCGACTTCTTGAGAAATGCTTCTTTAATTGCAACTGCCGTAAAAAAAATGAGTGAAATGCTAAGTAATTCGGTGCTTACGAGTCGCGTTCTTCTTTATTTCTCTTTAATCGCTTCATCTCACGGAGCTTCCAACTTTCATATGCAATTTCTTCATTTTCATCATCAGTTACAATTGACGTCAAGTCGATATTATCTTCTTTTTTCCTTTTTTCCATATCCGCTTCATGTCGCAAAACTTCTTCCAGCAACTGCAAAATCTTACATAAGTTCTTGAAATACAAATCTTGAAAAGCAGTAATGACTTCTGCCTTTCATGAATATTTTAAATACTTCACGTATTTTCACAATATGCATATATTTATTTTTAAAAGAATGTTATAGGTGTCTTTCAATAAATGATGAAACGAAATGAAGCATGACTGTGTTAGAAAATATGAGAACTCTAAGCATGATCTACTTGTAATCAATCAAAAATATGCTGCAAATACTTTAATAAATTAAATAATGGAAAAGGTCTAAAATAGCAATATGTTGGAGTTACCTTTGCAGACTCTTTTTTTCGCCTTTCCTTCTTTTCTTGTTCCTCAGCTATCTGCCTTTTAGCACGTTCTTTCTCTTTCTCTTCTTCTATTTTTGTTATTCGTTTACTCCTCAATATAATAACATGAAAATCAAATTTTCAATAGAAATTAGGACTAAATGAAACGCGAAAGGAAGTAAAGAGATGCACTTTTCTACGAAGACGGGTTTCATTCTGGGAACTGTTTCATCTTCGCTCTCCTCACTTTCTTCTTCACTTGATTCTTCTTCACTGTCTTCATCCTCTTCTGCTTCCTCTTGTTTTCCTATGAGTTCCTCTTCCTCCTTGATCAAAGCACGTGCCCTCAGTAAAGCTCGACGTCTTTCAAATTCTTCCTGCAGTTCCTTTCTTTATTAAAACATAAAAGTGAACAGGCCAAGAAAATCTTTCATAGGAAGAAAAAATTACTATGAGACTTTTACATGATTATGCAAGGATGAGGCAAAGATCAAAACGAAAATTAAGCGACTTGAACATTTATCATCTATAGAAAATCATACTTCATCATCCTCGTCAGGTTCATCCTCTTCAACAGGAGCTTCTTGCATTTCCAGTTGCATTCGTCGTAGCCTTGCCCTTGTCCTTCTTTTTTCTGTTTCTTCATCATCATCTGAACTCGATGCTGCTCCTATTTCTTCTTTGTTTACATCCGTCGCACGTTTCCTATAATTGATTCATTTCTTCAGTGATAACATATTTAGTCCTGAAGAACTAGTAGCACTTTTCACCACCATAACGCGTAAAGTTTAAATAAAGAAATTATAAATTAATACTAAATTAAGCGTAATAAAAATCAGCAAAAATAATCATTAAAGCAATTCATCGTTCACTGGTGATGCGATTGTTCTAAAAACAGCAGTGACAGCGATTAAGATAACCAAGACTACAATTGACAGGTGCTATGTATTATTTCATTTGTCTGCTAATGACTAGTATTTCATTTCATTCGACTTAACCATATAAAAATACTTTCTGAGTTCTTGCTTCAGATGTCATAAATATGAATAGCATATGTTTTGTTCAATCCAACTAACAGTAGTTCCATAATTCCTCGGATAAAGGAAATGAATCTAAGCAAAGACAGTAATGAGGAAATGAATCTAAGAAAAAAAACAATAAAAGATTCTTTAAGAAATTAGCAAGAATAAGCTTACGTTTCCCTTTGCCACGCATCATTGAGAGGCTTCTCTGGTTCCTCATCACTCTGTTCTCCGTCAGATGAATCATTTTTTCCTAAGGCGTATGTTGGTCTAAAATATGCATTATCTGCAAACACAAATTTACTACAATAATCACATAACAGTACAGTTACTAGAGAAACTATACAACATTGAGGAAAATATCAAATAATTTCGATTATGCAATTTCGGCTATCACTCATACCGCTCCAGATATAACTTAAATTTCAAGAATATTTATATTTTTGAAAAACATACACTTTCCCAGCCATGTAGCGAACCACCTTCACTTTCTGCATTGTTATTTCACCCTTTTCATTTCTTACGGCAATGGCACCGGCAGTTGGTAAGGCCTTCGGGCCTGTACTACGACTCTCCAAATCCCGCTCAAATTTCGGAGTGAATTCTCCCATATCTAAAGTGAATATTGCATAAAGTAAAATTCAAAATATTGGTAAAAGTTTCTTGAATGGACGAAATCTGTTATTACAGGTTAAAAACCATTATGAGTAAAATTTAGCAAAACAACCATTTGAAATTTTTATTTATAAACCTCAAAGCAAACACAATCACAAGTTTAAAAGCTAACAATAATAACCAGAATGACGACATAAATAAAAATGGAAAATAAAAAGCGGATTGAATGAAATCTACGAAAAAAAAAAAGGATACAAAGTGGGTAGTGGAACATAAAAAACTCCGTTCTGAGCTTCCATATTTACATATCAAAAACAATAAATATCCATTGCTGACGAAAATTAGAAGTTACTGGAATGAATAACGATTATTAATGGAGAAAGAGAACTCTCCAAACATGCAATATTTATTCTGAGAACTTTCAAGATTCGTAGACCTTGAAAGAATCTCAGAGACGGCAAATCTACAAAAAGCCATAAATCCAGATCTCCTATTCCAGAAACTTCAGTGTGTTTTTGCACGTTGATGCATCTCTGCACTTCGTCTTTGCAGTTGTTTTTTTGAATAAGAAATCTGGATCGGTAAAGATCCTTTGGAGGCTTAAAATTCGTTGGAGACTTAGGATCCCCGAAAGATCTTCGGAGAAACCTATTCTCTTGAAGGATTCACTTTCTCAACATAATGCAAACGTTAGCAGTCTTTACTGAGAGTATTTTACTACCGACATTTACGATTTTTGACAACTTTTACTTATCTAAAATCTTTCAATTAAATACAGGAAAGTTTAAGCAAAATTTAGCCAGTGTCAAATCATAATAACGAATAAACCATGCTTTAATACTTTCCTTTATTTATACAATAAGAAATTTCTAACTTCTTTAAGATATGAACATATGCTCTTGTATTGATTTATTATGTGCTGCATTTAGAGCTTTGACTTACGCTCCAGTCTCGAAGAAAACCCTAAATGCTACCAAACTTTGAAAATGAACTACCAATGAGGTTAAGCATTAAAAAAGAATACATTGCATCAATTTATCCTCTTTACATTTTAACCACTACCTTCAAAATCAAAGATGTGAGGAAAAAAATAGTAATTATAAATTTTCCATACGACAGAGTGATTCAATATGACTCAAAACAATATCGTTGTTATCGGTTTTAACTACAGCTTCAGTATTATCTACAGATACCAAGGTACCGCTGATGCCAATATCGTCGCCGTATATTATTTTTGCCTAAATACAATTCAATGTAACAAGTAAATCATTAACAAGATACCAGTAAACACTATAATCAGTGTTCTAAAAGCCATCCAGCACTTTATATTTATCGCTTACGTATCACGCTTACTTGAAATGTCGATTTTTAAATTCTCGCAAGAAAATATACATGAACTACTACTAATTAGAATTTCTATATATTTCTGTGCATCCAAAAATTCACTACGTTTTTTTTCTCAAATCCTGCATAAGGACTCACTATTCAATAAGACTGCAAGCAGTATGTACCCTGATTCAGCGTGCTAATTTGCTAACACCAGAAAAATAATAATTTTTAAATCATTAATTAAACAAAAGTAACGCACCCTATCACCCTGTTCAGGTCTAACGGGAAGAATCTGGTCAAAATATGCTGTTACTTCGCGATCTAACTCGAATGAATAAATGCTGCAACGACCTTCCTGAAATTTCACAATCCATTAAATTATGTAATGATGTAAGAAAAGTAAGGACAAATAATTATTTACCAGAGTATCGACACTTTTAATAGTTCCTTCTTGACCTTTAAGTTCATCGTCATCGTAGTTGTCACGGAACCGCACCATCATATCAACTGATACCCATTCGCCTGAGTTCAATATGTGTTGCGCTGCAAATCAGGTAAAATGTGGAAATTTTTTTTAATGATCAAAAATTTTGCTTTAGATTTCCCATAAATAAGAATAAATACTTACGTATAGCACCAGAGCCGGTTGCAGTGCTGCCTGCATTTGAACCTAAAATGAGTTAATTAAGCCTTATCTGAAAAGTGAGAAGCTGTTGGTAGCTTTTAGTACATCTGATTTCTAAATTCATCAAACATTTTGGCCTCCATCTAAAGTGTATAAAAAAGATGCAAACTTACGACCATCCGAGAAAGGACTTGGAGCAGCATAATCTGCATAGATTCCGCCAGGTGTCATGGGTGCGTATGACTGACCTGCAATTACGCATAGGTTATTCACATTATTGCCTGCTTTTAAACAATTCTGAAATCTTCACGAAAAAACTTTGCAGAAGTAATCTTACCAAGAGCGGAGTCCGGATTGTAACCAGGAGTATGAGGATTCATTGCGCCCGGAGTAGGTACATTGAAAGGTGATGAAGGTTCGTCATAATGGATTTCATCACTGATTGGATGTGCTGGTGTTGTTGACGGATCCCAAGCCGAAGAATGAACTGGAGTGCGTCCACCATCATATGATGGCGTCAAAGCACCGTAATGTGGTGTACGTCCTAAATGGAAGATAATTTATGTGTATTAAGTTCATTAACCGCTATTCAGTGTTTTCGAAGACTTGGCTGTAAATGGACAAGACTTTCCCAAGTATAATGGAATTCTTATTATGAGCAGTGTAAGTTATTATAAATTAAATAATGTGTGCAGATCTATACAAACAAAATGATTCAGCAACAATGGATCTGAGGAAAACTCAAAAGTAGCATTTTGCTAATAGAGCCTTCTTTATTAAAAGAACAAGAGTTGAATGTTCTTACCTCCTTCATGCATGGGTGTCTGTGAACCATACATCGGCGTTTGGGCCCCATACATGGGAGTTTTACCACCACCACTGTATATCGGTGTTCGACTATCACCAGATGGTGTTCTACCAAGTAATCCGGCAATTAACGTACCACCAGGAGTACCGTCACCAACAATCATTATTCGTGATCGATCAACACTGATCGTCTAATAACATTTATGAGAAGTTATTAAATGCTTTCCCGTAACATTCAACATCTAATCACTCATTTGTGATCCTCACAAACAGTAATTCTATTAACAGTATGCTATTACGAACCAAGCAAGAACTACATGACAAAATAAACAACCTTGCAATTAGAATGAAGTTCAACGCGAGCAGTTTGTTCAGTAGCATCTTTGACAATACCAAAATAGCCTTTCAATGGTCCCTGAGTGATCCTCACACTTTTTCCAATTATTTGATTATCTCGCCGTACTCGATTTTGTGAGTCGAAACCACCGGTACTTGGTACACCCACAGAGCTACCTTCTAAAACTTCATTTATGTTCTGTACATAATTTATTGATAAGCTTTCCTGAATAATCTTTGTCAAGACTATAAAGCAAAGTCAACGGGTAATAAAAAATGATAGAGTGTGATCATAGTGTAAAAATGGATCAAAAATACTAAGAACTTGGGAGAAACCAAGGGATAGAAAGCAACTGGAAATCATTTACATAAGTGATTACTGGTTCACTAAGACTATCATCATGAAAACTTGCCGTGCTGAGAAGGAGTTGCGCCACCTCTAACACTTCTGCCACTTGACATGTTACCAGGTCGAGGTGTCTGTCCTCCCAGTTCAACATGTCGAGGACTTGAGAATGGATCAGGAGTTGCCAATCCTTTCACGATGAAATCACCAACTGCACATTAAAAGTATAAATTAGAAATTCATTTTCAATGATTAAGACAAGTAAAGAGCACTAAACTGTTAAATAAAAAACGAGCTTCAGACAGAACAGACAAGCATTTGGTTAGTGCAGAGGAAAATACTTGCGATATTCACGTTTGGACAACCAATAGCAAACATCTTAGCATGAAACCATTGCAATACAAAACAAAATTGAGTAATAGATTAATCAAGGTTTTTCTCAACGATCATCAAAATATGAAAATTATCAGAAATTTATCTTATTTTCTCGCTTACTTTTTGTATTTGCCTTTGAACCAACTAAAAGCAAATGTCTTGGCTTGCAAACAAACAAGCCGCCATTTTCCGTATGCTTCCTGGACATCACAAACGCATACGAACGATATATATGCTTGATTTCGCCCTGTTTCTCATCTTCTGCATCACCACGATTCTGAAAAACAACACAAAAACTAACTTTTAATTTGCAATTTATATATACATCAGCAGAACCCAATTTGATCTAAAAGAGCACTGTTTAATGTTATAGTGAAGAAACAAATAAAGAGAAGATACAGGAAAGAAATTTGAACTACTATAATTCTTATTGCGCAAAGCCAATATTAATGGACACTGAATTGGATTTATTTAGAAATAATGAATTTATTTTCAATCGTTACAAAAGAAAACAAATAGAGCAACCATATACCAGCCAAATACCATTCGTTAAAGTTATGCATATAGATCAGAATGAGAGCGAAATGAATTTTATAAAAAGAAATATTAAATAAACGGCAAGGAACAGCTCTGAATAAAACTGACCGCATGAGGTCCGTCCACAACTTTAACGGTATCTTTCACTTGAATACTATTCTGCTGGCTATCAAGTGCCTGTGCAAAACGTGTATCTTTTTTACCATGAATTGCTTGCGGTTTTACTCGTACAACCTATAATTTAAATAGAAACATAAGAGTTAAATGCAAATGATATGAAAAAAAAATCTGGCAGAAACTTTCTACCTTTCCATGCATATTCAAAACTTCCAAATATTCTCTCTCTAAGCGGACGATAACACCAGCTGTTTGCTGATCCAACATTACAAGATCCTGATATTGGAACTGTCCCAACGAGTCTACACCAGTGGTCACATCAGCACAAAGTTGAACATCACGTGGTAATACTTTCAACTGGAAATTAATAAAGAATTAAACACCTGTTTACAAAAAACTTGAAATGCTTAAGCACCAATTTACTGCGCCTTCCTTTGAATAAGACCTACATACAAACTAATGTCTAGATAATTCCTCAAGACACATTATGAATCCTGTTTCAAAAATATATCGAAATTAAGATGGTGAGTCATTAGTCCACTACAGCACATGACGAATATATTGAGTATAAAAAAATACATAATTAAATACAAACAGATGATATTGACATTACAGATAGTTGGGATGAAAAAAATTTTATAAAACAATAAATAAATATTCTTGAACATGAGAAATATAATATTTGCAAAAGTTAGCTTAGTGCTACTTTCAGAAAAATCAATGTAAGGATACATTTTATTTTCCAGGAAATATTATCTGGTATTTTTTACCGCCGACAATCGATGTCAAATACGTTTTTTTTTTGTGCTAGCTGATTAAATTCTGTATGATGGATTTCTTTACCTCATGCATTGTCAGATCCGATAATAAAATGACGAGATTATCCTCCACGCGGACAATCAAACCGGTATCTCCTTCGTATCGACCATTGATTACTTTCACATGATCACCTGTTTTGAAGAACTTCCTCAATTCACAAGCGTTTAGCGTTAATGGTTCCTGCAAAATGGTCCATTATTTTGAAAAAAAAAAGACTTAAATAGTACCCTTTTCCACACTTCACTTTTATTCTTGCCAACAACGCCAATGCAGCCCTTATTCAAATGATTAGTTTTTTCCATTTCTTTAATAGTCTTTCACGTAAAACATTTATCAAACAGATAAGAAGAAAGTTTTATTACTGTTTCGTTTATTAATTCTGCTGGGTAGAAAAAAATACTTTTAAATCTTCATGATCTGGCAACATGACAATTTTTTCGCCGTCGACGCTCTGAACTCTGCCACGCAAGTTTACAAGTTCACCATCCGCCACTTCAACGTAATCTCCCGGTGAAAAGATATACGATAAATCTTTTACTTTCATTCCTTCCACTGCAAGAAATTAATATATATTTTTTTAAATTAAATCAGTTAAATACGTCCAATTTTTAGCCCCATCGAATATGTCTAATCATTTGTTCATTATTTCAGTTTTAACAGTCATGCAGAACGATATATCATTTCTCGGAAGTTCACCAAAATCACTAAACATTTCTTTTTTCTGTGGAGTGAAAGAAGCATTACTCGTTGTGAGGAATTATAAATTAAAAAACGAACATTCTTTTTTTAAATCATCGCTTGTTTCTTGGAACTTTTCCAGTTCGCTCAGGGAAGGTTTAACACCGTCAACTTGCTGCAAAAAGAAGTTGTTGACCTTTTTAAGGTACTTTTCCTACGTTATGAACTCCATTTGCTAAAAATCCACTTGGTGCGAAGACAAAAAAATTTCTTCCTCAATTTCTTGCGGTGTAATTTTCGCACAAGAAGTGAGGATACGGTACATATGACAAAATGAGTGATACTTACGATAATATTCAAAGGGAACCATTTGTACAAGAATCCTCGACGATATTGATTCCCTTCAAATGTTACGAAATCGCCGTCTGTCGATACTTCACCTCCTATTTCTCTGAAATTACAATATTTATTTTTCTGAAGATATAAAACAAGATAAATAATGCCTAAGCACAATATGGAGCAATGTAGTCAGAAAGTTTTAAGCATTTACGCTTTTCTCTGTTCAGTAAGATGATTAATTATTTATTAAACTCACTTAATTCTTTCAACATCAAATAGTCGTGCTTGTGGTCTTCGTTTCATTTTCACAAAACGCGGTTCATCCTTTAAATATAGTAGCATATTACGATAATCCAAGAGATAAAAAACATTAAAATGATATATAATAGAAAAACTGATTTACTATACACATAAAATCAAAATGCACAACTAACCGGTGCTCTAAGTGCTCCACGCATACGAGTGTAATCAATGCGTGGAACCAACTTCAAATAAACCTTATTGTGCGCCACATCTACCCAATCAACCTGTTTTCAAAATATATATCAACAATAACCACAGTGTGTAACATTATTTGTATTAGGATATTTGCACATAAAACATAACTGCTCGATAAATAATGAGGTTTATTCTAATTCTACTCCATCTAACTTTCCACAAAATGGTTGAAAAAACAAGAAACCTGAGCTAAATCATCGCGATACATGGTTCGTTTTAAGCGAACGTACATTCCATTTTTCAATAACGGAATATCCTTAGCTACTTTCAGAGTATCACACATTTCCTTGATCGGCACCATAGTTATTCGGAACTGATTTAAAGCTGATACTCCAGTAACTGCTGTCGCTACATGTGATTGTTTGAATGCTTCTATGTAAATCATTCCTTTTAGACCTTCTTTTACTACCACCGATTTGATTTGCAAAGACTGCAAACAAAATTTTATTTTGTCCGAACCTACTAAAAAAAAGAAAAACACTGTGCACATGGCAACAGAAATAACGAAAACTTACATTATCGGTATTTTCATAAGCAATAAACTTTCGCATAAGTTGTAGCGCAACCAGCTTCTCCTCACCTAGACGACACTTTACAATCCACAAATTTGGATCCTTATTTGTACTTGGAAGTAAAGAATGACGACTTATATCATCTAAAGCAGCATCATCATCCATCATACTCGCATGCGATGACTGATTTGCATATTTTTTCTTAAAGTAATCTTCTATTTGATCTTCGTTCATTCCACTGAAAAATTACATCAGTGAATCACCGCATGTTAAACTACTGTAAATTCCATAATAAAAATTTAAAACAAAACTACGATATCCAATACCTGAACAGATCTCGACGACGTCCTTCACGTTTCCTTTCGTCTTGCTCCTTCATCATTCTTTCGGCTTCCTCTCTTTCTCTTGGATCAATTCCCATCTCATCGCCATCCTCTTCAAAACCATCTTCTTCCTCCTCGTCTTCATCTACTTCCACATCATCAAGAATAAACTGGTGTACTCCTGTGCGTCGCTGAAATCACCATTTTATTTCTTGAAACCTTGCAGTTAGAGTTATAAAATTATAAAAAAAATAGATTTAATTACCTTCTTCCTCTTCTTAGACTTCTTACTATAATGGTCATCTTCATCATCCTCATCGTCATCATCCTCTTCGTCCTCATCTTCCTCATCTTCATCAAAATGCTATAATTTACTCAGGAATTTATAATATAAAAATTTCTAATAATATCATTAAAATTATAAATTATATGACTTCACAGAAGTTACAGAACGAGACCTTCCGCTTCCTTTCATTTTTGATGGCATCTTCACTATCACTTTCTGGTTTCTCATCATCGCTTTTCTCCTGTAATAACAGCAAATAATTTGCTCATTTTTGCTTCAATTAAACAGTGATTAGTTTAAAACATCCAAAAATGAAAAAAAATTGAACGTAAAAACCTGGTTATTCGTAAAATCCTCTATCGTATCCTGGTCCCGTTGCTCATCGCCAGACTCTTCGCTGTCAGACATTGCAAAAAACAATCGCTAACCTGGAATAATTAGAGAAAACCTACAACATTATTTCTTAAAACCAGCAAAATCAATGAATATATAAAAGCAAAATTATGCTATTAATTGAAATATCAAAAGCGATATAAAACAATAGTATGGACATTCAGAGAAATAAAGGACTCCATGAAAGTCAAATATAATGCAACAAATTTTTTATGAATTTTCGTGATAGTATTATCACAATTCACATTAATACCAAATATAACCATGTAAAAATCTTTTTTACAAAATAAGAGCACCTACCACTTAAAGTATTACAACATTCTCCTCAAATTTCATTTTCTTTTTCGGAACCACTGCTTCCACAACAATACAAACAATTTCATTATAAATAAAATTAAAAGCACTGAAATAATGGCAGACTACATAGGAATCTCTAATTATGATAACATATTATTTGTAGCTTAAAAACTTTGCAACGATAACAAAATCGTTTGGACTGAAAATCTAATTAATGCTCCTCAAAAAATTGCTCCGTCTATGACAAAAAAAAAAACAAAGATTGCGTACTACATAAGTGAGCAAGCTTCGGAAGCTTTTGATATATCATCCACTTTTGGTAAACCAGTTTGAGGATCTGTAACCCAGCCAGGGGGAGCTTCGCCCACCAATTCTTCGGGGGGATATCCATATGATTGCAATTCCAACATTAATGTGGTAATAGTATCAAATCGCCGCTTCATTTCTTCCAAATCTTCGCTTTCATCTTTCTCATATTCCATACACACATGTTCTATAACATTTATCTGTTTCTCATAGCGAAGTTTCGTTTCCGCATCCAACTCACTGTGTTCTGCTATGTAACTGAAAATTCGACCTCATAAAGTCAAAGCATTTCTTCACACAATGTAATGCATTTGAAACTATTTTTAATAAAAATAAATAAGTTTATTCATCATCTCATGATGAATTTCTGTGAGAAAGTCATCAGCAATTTCAATTTGCATAATGACTGGTGTTTAAATAAACATTAATAAACCGTTCATTTTTTTTGAAGAAGGTTTCTATTATCAACAGCTGAAAACAAAACTTTCCTTATTAATTATCTTCATTTTCCAAATAGTGAAATGATAGACATACTTGGGAAATCTTTCTAGTAGCTGCTTCAGAGGCGGATACATCAAATCTTTTGAAAAGAATGTTTGAATAAGATTTATTAGAGTTTTATACTGTGATTCGTCCTCTATATTAGCTGGATCCTGCTTTAACAACTTCTACAAAACAACGGATTTCATCTTAGCCTTGTCAAGTTTAGTATGTAAAGTAATCTTAATGAATTTACAAAATATCTTTAAAAAAACTTGATCGCAGACTTGGTCAACAGCTATTATTGCGCTGTCCCTCGGAAAATTATTTTTATAATTCGAACTGGTATAAATTTTTTGAGAGCAAACCCACAAAAAAACTCGCTTTCAATTGCCCGATAAAAGCTTCAGCACTAGTCCGATCATAACTATCTTGGCTATTCTCATTTGATGAATGTTCGGTCAGCGTTTTTTGTTCAGCTTCAATCAATGTTTTAAGCATATTTTGGAAATTCTCAGCAGCTTTACGCTCATCGTCGGTCATTTGTGCTACTTCAGATGAATTCTATAATTGTAACACATCACAAATCCATCAACTACATTTTTTGATTAATATTGATAACAATCTATAAGTAAACATTTCACAGTAAATGCGGAATACTTACCATGTTATGAAAAATATAAATTGAAATAAGGATATGACTGAATTTTGTCATCTTAAAGTAAATTTTTATGAATCTCCAAAACTTCAATATCGCAACTCTTTAACAAAATTAGATCAAGAGAATAAGAAATGTTAGAAGATGTGTTTCCTTTTATCATTTTTCATATCAGAATGGGAAAAAGAGGAATTACAAGAGTATGAAAACAATGCTGTTGATAACAGCACTAAAAGATTTTACGGTACATTATAAGCTGAGAAAACATGAAACAATACCGAATAACTGTTGGATTCTTGAAGCGTCTTCATTGCATCATCAAATTTCTGAACCGCCTTCCGCACGGCTTGTTGATCCATTGCATCCATCATCGAATCCAATTCATCATCCGTGTTACGAGTACGACCAAAATCTGCCAAAGCACTATCCAACAACGCCGACAAATCACTCTCCGTTTCATTTTCACCAGTTTCTGCCATTTTCTTGCCAGTTATATTCCAAATTTAGTTTGAAATTTTACACAATTACCATGATCTTCTTCAACAACCTTAACGTCATCATATGAAAAAAATAAACCAAGTAAGAAATGTTGAAAATGATAAGAAAATAAGCAAGCGTAAAAAAAGTTTGATGCGAATTAATTACTATGTCAGCAAATTCTAATGTTAAATTAGAATTGTGTTTGAGGAGCGAGTTCTCTACATTATAGCACAGGCTTGTAATGAATATAGTGGAAACATAAAGCAGTAAGCAAAGAATAATAGAAATTGATAAAAAATGATATGCGGAATCAAGAAATATATGGATATACTTTAGTATTTCAAAAAGCGTTACACACCAAACTGGTAATCTGAAATTCACAACATCAACTATGACAACACTGTATGAAATAATGAATGAACCAGTACGAAAGAAAACAAAACCAAGAAGCAAGCATCATGAACATGGAGATTAAAGTTTACTTGTTCCTAAAAACATGATAACCACGTATTCAAGTCACATATTACATAACACAAAAGTAATGATAGCATCAATTTTACAAACATTTAATATCCGAAAATGTACGGATAGTTCATTCCTTTCACAAAGTCACGTCAAAGTAACACAGCGCGTAGGTCAGAACGCACACTTTAATTTCGCTGCATGCTTCTCACTTTCTTGCTTTAGTTTAAATTATTCATCCAGTGGAATGGTAGATGCAAGGTGAATGTCTCTGATTATCATATGCCAACCTCCTCACTTACGGCCGCTATGATCACGTGATCGGGATTAATACCTGCGCAATTGAAATGAATGCATATTATTGGAATGGATGAGTACGTGATGCTGGGAAGAATATATGCAGTCATGAGGAGTACGTGCAGTCGGAATGTGTAGTACTAAAAATGGATGTGTACGTGCTACTTGGATGAATATGTGTAACCGCGAGGAATATATGTCATGAGCATTATATTCGTCGAATTGCGTACTGTTCGGAAAAAAAATTTTTTTATACTAGATGATAATAACTGCTCAAAGGATGTAATTAAATTCAGATTTTTACAATTTTAAATGAAATTAAAAGTGAGGAAAATATCGTACTGATTCATGTAGTGTGAAATAGCCGAAATTGGAATTACGATTGAAGCGAATTAGGCTGTTCATTTTTTGCTGGATTTTATTGTAATCCGTTCTTGATGGATTGATGTAAATCTTGTTCCTAATCGATTACTACTATTATTATGTACGATGGTATGTAAAATTATTGTGCTAATAATTACAGCGTTATTCGATCAAAGAACGATTTGGAAAATATCAGAAAAAGGTTAGACTAATTGAGACCTATTAGCGAGCATTTTCTTTAATCATTTTATGAATGCTTATATTCATATTGATTATCCAAAAAAGGCTTAGCGAGAGATTTCTGAAATGTATTTGCTTCAACGTGTCGTTAATTAGTATCTGATGTAGATGGCTTTAAAATTATTGGTTGAATAAAATTTTTTAATTGAAACATTATTTGTGTTTCAGTTATTATTTGGAAAGATTGTCATAGTGAAGAATTATAGTTTTCCGTTAGTCGCTGAAGGTGGCTGATTGGTATGGCTATCCAGGCTCATAGCAAGGTCAAGGTTGCATATTATTATGATGGTTAGTTTTTTGAAATTTATTTACGCTTCATATTATTATTTTCCGGGTCAGATGGCCATGTTAGTCACTAACTCAGTTACTGATAAGATATTTTAATATAATCTACAGGTTTTATTAAGCGGGAGAACAGGTAATACATACATTCATATCCAGATTCATACACGTTTGGCAGAATGGAATGAGGTATTAGGTTAATAAAAATAAGTGATGAAACATCTATAGCACAAATACTTATAAATGCAAAAAGATCATTTAATGCTTCTTGCTGCCTTTCAGCAATACTATTGAACAGATGCCCATGATCATGATTCTTTGCCGTTTCATAAACATATACCATGGATATATAAATTATGATCTTGCATATCATGGCGTAATGTTTAGTTGAAAGAGGACGATATTAGCTGTTCCCATTTGTGGAGTTGTTTCAGATAGAATAAATAGATTTAGGGGATGTTGGAAATTACTATTATGGTCCAGGGCATCCGATGAAGCCGCACAGAATTCGAATGGCTCATAATCTCATTCTCAATTATGGTCTTTATCGGCGAATGGAAGTTTATGTTAGTTTTTATGATTGCTGTATTTGGTTAAATTGCGGAATGCAGACTTGTTTTCATAACTCTTTGATCAGATTGTCATTGAAAAAAGTTTATGAAAACTTAACAGAAGGTATAACGTTTATTCTTTCTCGGTAGAGAGATAAATTTTTTTCCGAAGTGGGCAGGAAATTTGGTAACTTCACAGTGAAACATGGGAGTAGATAATTTGTTTTTCAAGAGGAGAATTTATAAATGACTATTCTTTCAACATTCCAGAAAATTTAAATTTAGACTTATTTGTTCACGATATGAATTTTAAGAGAAATGAAAAGACATTTTTGTTTTTCCATTATTTTCGAACTTTTGTGACAAACTGCTGGCAGTGAAGTACCCTCAGATTTTTCATAATTCTTATTTGCTTTCGAGAAATATATACATAAATAATATTTTAGGGTTTACTGTGGATTTCTTTTTTTATAATTGTTGTTTATGTTTCAGAGACCGCATGTAGCGACGTTTGAGGAAATGACGAAGTATCACAGCAATGATTACTTGACATTCTTGAAAAATGCACGACCGGGAGATATCACTGATAACAAGGCAGCTAAAACTCGTGAACGATGTTACTAACTATTCTTGAATTTTATATATAATTATAATTTCATTTAAAAACACTGCTTACGACTTAAGCTACGTAATTTAAGATTAAAACTATAAAACTTATCGTTTATTTAAATGTGCTCCCTCAGAAATTTCTTGAACTGAATATTATTCAGCAGTCTGCGGTCCACTTCAATATTTCATCTTTTTGTCGAACATTCCATTTTTTTGTCGCTTATTCAAGCTCCCCAATTACTATAATGGTTATCTTAAATTGTTACAGATAATTTTAGCGAAGATTGCCCCATTTTTCACGGTATATATGAATTTTGTCAGACTTCATGCGGTGGCTCTCTTGGTGAGACTTATTTTGTCTAAAATTTTTCTGTATTTCTGTATATTTTCTAACAGAACATTTTGGTTTACTTTTGTAATGAGACTGAATTTATTTAATTTGATGACTTTCAGGAAATTAGAGATTTGAAAATGCAGGGACAAATAAAATTTTGTTTATATTTTATATTTCTTTTAAGCTGCGGCAGCGAAACTTAACAAGAAGCAGGCAGATATAACGATAAATTGGATGGGTGGTTTACATCATGCCAAGAAAAGCGAAGCTTCTGGATTCTGCTACACAAATGATATTGTTTTGGCGATTCTTGAGCTTCTCAAACATCATCAAGTTATCTTTTATCAGTTACGTTAGGAATGATTTGTAGATTTAAAAACTGATTTGTATAATTCACCCGTAAATTGATGAGAAGCATAGTCCAGAGCATTAAGATAATAGAAGCTGGATTACTCTTTCATCATTAACAATATCCATCGTATCTTGATTTATCCAAAAAATATCAGTCATGGTGATGATGCCAAGAAGCATGCTATGTAAAATAAAGCACTAAGTGTTCTAATTCATTTTAGCTTGTTAGATTTTAACGATTGTGTACAGTAAAATAAATTTAAGCAATGTCATTTCAGCGTGTTTTATACGTCGACATTGATGTCCATCACGGTGATGGTGTCGAAGAAGCATTCTATACAACAGACCGTGTAATGACTGTTTCATTTCACAAATTTGGTGAATATTTCCCGGGTACTGGAGATGTTCAGGTAACGTGCAGTTTTTGATAACGCTTTGATTTCTTTTTGTGATCAATAATTTCATCAGATTATATTAGAGATGTAGGAATGGTAAGAGAGTTATAAGTGTAAAATATTCTTTGCTGTTGCTTAATCAGGAAATGTTAAGGATATCGGCTTAGGCCAAGGAAAATACTATGCCGTAAATTGTCCTTTGCATGATGGTATCGATGATGACACGTATCAGTATATATTCAGATCTATTATGGAACAGGTTTTTTCTATATGTTAATAAGTTTGCTTGGTCATTATTTATCTGCATTAGATTTTGTGAATTTATATTTTCGGCACATTAGTTTGCGATATTGTAGCATAATAACTTACATAATCTCGGCATTATAGAGAAGGGTCAAGTACTGTATTTTTTCTTGCTCCCAAGTTTAAGCCCTTACTGATATGTCAGATTTCTGTTCAATCAATATATCTCCTGTCATTGTAGGTTATGCTATCATATCAGCCATCAGCCATCGTCCTACAGTGTGGTGCTGATTCATTAGTTGGTGATAGACTTGGATGTTTTAATCTTACTCTAAAAGGTAATACTTATTTGTTATACATAAAACTAATCTCATAACATTAATCTTTGTTAACGACTAGCTGTACCGACTTTTACCGACTAACATGTCCCTCGCGCTTCAAAATATATGTTTCATAGAAGTGCTTTACAAAAGTCTATTTTGTCGCCGTTTCATTTAACTAGGGAGACTTTATTCTTTATTCATTTTTAATTGTAGGACATGGTAAATGTGTTGAATTTATGAAGAAATTCAATCTCCCACTTTTGTTACTTGGTGGAGGTGGTTATACCATTCGTAACGTTGCACGCTGTTGGGCCTATGAGACATCGATTGCTTTAGATGTCGAAATATCAAATGGTGAGCTAATTATTCTATTATAAAGTACAATTTTCTGGAATTTATTTTTATAACTTTCAAATTCAGAAAGACTGTAAAGGGGGGAATATGTTCTGCCGTTCTCGAATTGTTTCACTTTATTGTACAATTTTCTGTTTAAAATTTTAAATTTCTTTGTCTTTAGAATTGCCTTACAACGATTATTTTGAATACTATTCAACTGATTTCAAGCTTCATATTATTCCATCAAATATGACGAATCTTAACACACTTGATTATCTTCAAAAAGTGCAGTAAGTTTGGATTGAAAATTATTACCAGTGTATAAATATTTGATGACGAAGAAAATAATGGCATAGGAATTTATAGCTTTGAGAAAGCTTTCTTTAAAAAGAACTATAAATAAATCACTGAATATCAACAAGTCTGTTAGAATGATATGCTAAAAAATGTCTTTATTTTTCCTTGTAAACAATTTGGAGTTTGCAGTTGCAATTGCTGCTTTTAATAGTGAAACTCATATAAATCAATCGTGCACCTGTTACAGGTCGACGATTTTTGAACATTTGCGTTACTTACCACATGCTCCCGGTGTGCAAATGCAGCGTAAGTTATATTGTAGCTGTTAACGTCTTTTTTTTAGAGTTTTTTGGAGTACCGTGTTCCTAATATCTTATTCTTATTTCAGCAATAAAAGACGGAATCACTGGAACGTCTGCCGGCGAAACAGTATCAGGAACTACATATAAGCGCTTCTCGAGTAAGTTGCAATAAGACTCCCAATTATGTGGATATTACTCCATAATTTAAGAGGTTCTAGAAAGAGCAGTTAACAGTTATCTCACTTTTCACAAAATCAAGTAATTGTAGTAGATAGTTGTTTTATCTAGTTTCTGACTTTTTTCATTGCATTTCAGTTTTAGAAAATTGTGTGGAAGGCGATAATGAATTTTATGAGGAGCATGGCATGAAATCAAACCGAAATGAACGATCTCATAATCTTGAACCTGAAAATTTATCACCAAAAGTCAAGCGATTTCGGATCTCATCACCAAATTCTCCAAAGAGTCCAAAATCTCCTAGATCATTTCTAGGTTCAAAGTGTTCGAAGTCTCCTAAGCCTTCAGGTCTAAGGTATTTTAAGTCCACATCAAGTCAATGATCTCTCTCATCTTTTTTAGGGCTCTTAAATAATCATCCTGAGAATATTTAACTTAAAATTAAAGTTCATTTTGAAAGCTGCTGTATGAAATTTTATACAGCAAACATGGTTCACGTAAATTTTTAAAAGATATGCCGTTGAAAAGAAATTTTATCATTAATTTAGTTAAACATCTTAATTGGATGTCAAGCTTTTTTGATGGGGAGGAAGGGCGATTGTCAGCGACATCTAATATTGCTATTTGCTTTACGATTTCGTACAATCCCTCGCTGATATATAAAGTAACTTTAACGTCTGCTTTACAGAAGACGCATTATAAAAAAATTTTGACCCTAGGAGATCTTTATGATATTTATTTGATATATTGACCAAGGAATTTGAAAATGAGCACCTTTTATCTACTGTTCATTGTGCCTTTGAAGAGTCCCGACAATAGTGGTGATTAAAATAATTTTTTTCATTAATGCTCTCAGTGACGTTCCAATCTTCTAGATTTCTTTTGTTTTCTAGATGTTAATACAATTCTTCAACATTCGAAGTTCGAAGTGTTACTGCATTTTGATCTTTTCTGTATTTACTCCACATTCCTCTTCTTTGCCTTTTTTTGTGATACAAGCATAATGTTGAACAATACTTGTTTCTTGGTATTTGTTTTATATTAAGTGAGCTTATATCCTGGATATACATGTGCTTTAGTAAGTTTTTCAACTTTTATTTTCAGGCAACTTCTTGTTTTTGAAGTTGAAACTTATTAAATTTCATAAATATCTATCTCTAAATTCTTTTCTTCAACCTGAATTGTTCTTTGATGTTTTCAGTAAAATAAATGACTCTTTTATGTTCTATTACCAAACAATAACACACTCATCTCATTTTTATGAATTTGAAATCAGAAAATTTCTTTAAATTTCAAAAGCTGTTCAAAAGCTAGATCATTCTAACTGAGTTCAATAGTTCCGGGAATTTTTTGTCTGGTCCTCCCTATGATTCTTTTGCGAACAAGGGAGGGAGCTGGTCCCATTGCTCCATTACTTTTCGACTCAGTTTCAAACGCTCTTCCGCACCTGGCTTCCATCAGTTGAAGAAATTCAAACTTATGCAAACATCATTGTCGAGAAGTCATTCAGTAAGAAAGCTCGGTAGAGGAGTTGAACTCCCAATAGTTTCTCGTCAATAAGTTCACCAGCCATTAAACTTTTAGTAGGAGGTCGAAGAGTCTCTGAGGAAGGGCAGACATAGTTGCGGTTGAACAGAGTGGTACATCAAAAAATTCAATTGGGCATATAATGTCCTTCTTTACCAAACAATGCTCGCATATCGAATAACTGTATAGTGCTTGTATCCCGAATGATCCGATAATGCATTGAAGAGTTAAGGAGCGAGAGATTGAAATCAAGAAAAAGGTTAAAATAAAAGACTAAAGATCAAAGCGAATGATTAAGAAGAGCGATATCATTGTTGTCACCAAATAATTATCAATTTAAAGAATTTCTCTCGAAAATGCATACTTTGAGAACTGTCAATGTGAGATTAATTTTTCAAAAATTTGAGTTAAACTGGTGCTGTCAATTACTTCATGTTGTTTGGACATTTGTGTACATTATTTTAATTAATGTTATTTGTTATGAAAGAAGAAATAGAATTAATTAATCGCTATCAAAACCGATAGTGCAATTAGAAATGTATTCCTGTCACCAATTCCCAATAACTCTTATATTTAACAGAAAAAGTGCTATTGTTCTTCAAATTAACATTTTAAGCAAAATTGCAATTTATAATTGACAGAGAAGCATTTGAAATTAGTGCAATGGTTAACTCATTTTTACAAAAATGAATAATTGATTCATTTACATTACAGGCAAAAGGTTAATGTGAAAAGATTTCTATTCGTTCTTTATTATTTCCGTAAATTCATATTATTTATTGCGGAAAGAGACGAGAAAAGTATCGGCTAATTTCAGCAAGAAAAGTTATTTGTCCATTAATTTTGGCTGCATTATTTCTCATTTATATCAGAAGTTTGAATTAATCTATAAAGTTGGAGGGGAATTTTATTGCATGCGAACAGATAATTTTTATGTGAATGATAATAGTTCACTTTCAAAATGTAATTTATTTCAAAATTAAAACATATCAGTCAAGATATTACTGAAAATTGTAAAATGTCTCATTATTAGGGGAAAGAAAAAAGTATTTAAATTAATATTTACTTTTTAATCGAAATTAATTTTTGATGTGAAGAAGCATTTTGCATTTCATGTATATTAAGTGAACATTTTGTTAGCCGTTTATTGCATATTTTAAGCTCATTTTATATTTAATAATGAATGTTTATTTGTTTATTCCACTTCGTCTTTAGCCTAAATTTTTTAACATAATTTAATCTTTATACTATCCACAGAATTAGGATTCTATTGCAGCAATTGAAAGAGACAAAAAAAGACTCGAACTTATCAGCCTTATCATTTGATGAATTATTCAAAATATGTGAAGAGAAAAAAGTTCGTAAGGAAGGCATGACATGAAAAGATTTGTCTTAAAGCGCCTTAGCGGCAAACATAATAAACCTACTAATTTTTTGAGAAGTTAGTTTCCCACTAATTTATGCTTGTTATTGAGAGAATAATCTTTTACCGTATTAATTGGCTATAAAATAGATGTGAAAGTGATGATACATGTGACAAATTAGTTGTGTCACCATCGCAATATCCTTTCTACATCTCCCATCAATTAAGCCTAACACTTTATAAGTTTACTTGATAAAATTTAATCAATTTTAGTTTCGTGACTGAATTTATTCAAGTTTTTGCATTTATTAGTTGATTTGTAACAAACTTTCATAACCTACATTGTTGTGAATCATGAACAGATAGAAAGAGGTGTTATCATTATTGCTACAATCTATTGTTATATTTAAATTCAAACATATTAATGAAACAATTAGTTAAAACAAATAATTAAATGAGTAGCATATTGAAGATATGAAGAATTTGAACTTATCATTCTAGCAGAAACTATGCTTATGCGTTATTAGTACTGGAACAATGGCGAATTAGGATAAAGCCATTTGTATATTGATTAAACTTTGTTTATTAAGTTTAAGGATTACAGGATCAATGTAGCATTGAAATTAAATGCCTCATTGTGATCAAAAATTTGCAGAAATTTCAGAATATTTTCAAAATTTAAGCATATTTTTTTACTTTAAGCAAAAAAAAATTTCTATCATCACTAAAAAATCTATATCTTAACAATAAATGGCAATCAACCAAATATAATCTCTAATAAAATTTATAATTTTAACTTTTACCAGCTATCGTTATATCATCTATTTCGTATGATCATAAATGAATGAATTAAATTTAATTAATTTTATCTACAATTGAAATTACAAATTTTGCATGAAATACATTTTCTGAGTGTAATCTTCGATCGTTTCAGTTATTTGTTCAAAATTACCATAAAAATTGGAGTAAATCAGCATTCATATCCGGAGGAAGAAAATTAGAAATTCGGTTAGTTATCTTCGATCTTGTCAAGCAGATTTTAGAGATTTGTAGAGGAGTTCGTTGCGCGTGACTGTAGTGGACAAAAAGGAGGATGGATATTCCCAAGAAGGATTACTTAAGGGTCATTCACAACATGAACATTTTTTTTTTTAATGTAAACAAAGAATTGTTCTCTTTGTGATTATAAAATCTGAAGATGAATGGATAAAAAAAAGTTAAGAAAAGCTGAAATTTTTGCAGTGAAACGATGTAAAAATTTGAAAAAAAATATAATTTTACAATCTGTACAGTACGAAACGGAGGTGGAATAAAATGGCAGAATTTTAACTGTTTAATGTAAACAAAAAGTGAATTTGGCATAAAAATAATTGCTTAGTGAATTTGATATGAGAATAATTGCTCTTTAATAATAGCAATAATAATGTTAATGCTAAAAAAATTAATATTAATAGTAGTAATATTAAAAATGTTAAAAGGTTTATATGAATTTGCTACTGTTAGTATTAATTTTTTAGCATTTGTACAAGCTGAAAAATCTGAATTCGTTTTAATTCATTTGATATATATTTTTTAAGAAATTGTGTTTAAAATGAATTTTTGATTTAGATTGATCAAGAGATTATTACAAAAGACATACTATCCGTATGTAAAGCGCTTTATCTATGATAATGAGATAATTACACATATTCAAATATATCACAGATCATTTAAACTATTGCAAAAATATCAGCAAATTACAGTAATTCAGATATAATGTAAATTTACTACTGTTCATAAATCTATAATGTATTATCAGAATTTCCAGTCATTAAAAAGGTTGTTTTGGTGTTACATATCGAAAAGCATAACATTCTCGATTTTACAAAACAAAAAAATTCATTAATATCCCAGAGCTAACTTCTAATTTTACAGATTATCTTCGAAATTATTTTATTATTTATTGCACATACAATTCAATTCAAACAATCTCTTCAAGAGAGCTAATAAAGTTGCATGCATTACGTCATATGCATGTATTGTATGTTTATGATAGATAGGTTAAATGCGCAATTCAATACTTTCAATGCAAACAATGCTGCTTCTCGAGTTCACGAACTATTTGGCACATTGTTTCGTGCCCCATCTATTCATCAAATGATAAACTGTTTATGATTTCCCGTGGCGTAAGGATGTGCCATTCTCAGGGAAATTTGACCAGAAGGAGGAGAAGGAAGAAAATGGGATTAGGAGGTGAATCAAACAGTAAACTTTATGTGATGAAAACTATGTTTCACTCTTTTATGCAACATTACTTTTCTTAAATACATCAATAGCAAAAATTATTAATAGCTTAGGCAAAAAAAAAATAAAATTACACATTGCAAAAAAATATTTTAAAAAATCTACAGAATAAAATTATATAAATAATCCATAAATTTAGAAATACAAATATGAACAGTAGAATAATATGTTTGTTATTTGATAAAAAAAGTAAACTAAAATTATACATTGCAAAGAAATATTTTGAAAAATCCACAAAATAAAATTATATAAAGAATTTGATAAAATAAAAATTGCACGGTTTTAATTAAAATTTATGAATTATTTATATATTTGATAAAAAAATTGCACGGTTTTAATTAGAGAGAGGAAGATAACACAGATTATCAATGATATATTGCCCAGGAAAGGATGAAATTTGAGATTGATTATTATGAATTAATGCAGGAGAAGTTGCATTATTATCATTATTATCATTATTATTGTTACTGTTATTATGAATTACTGTCGGAGATTTCGGATACGGTGGTATGAGTGATAAGAAATGATTTTCAGGTGGTGTTTTCGGCAATGAATAACGTTCCGGTACGGTTTGTCGACATATATCTTCAGTTCGAATGCCACGTCGTAATTCCTTCTCTGCTAGATCTTAAATTTGATCTTTCATATTATAGAAAATATAAACAATTATCATTTGATAGAGTGAGATAAATAATGGCTCATATCATTATTATTGCTGAGGAATGAACGCTTTGTGAAGTGAACTGATAGTTTGGAATTATTTTATTTCTTGTACAGATAAAAGTCAGAGAATTAATATAATTAACTTCCTTTACGGCTTTTTGTTCTTTTTACTCAATATTTCAAGAGTATTGGCTTAAGGAAGGTGAAAACAGCCATTGTATTCATTTTAGGATTTCTATTTTATTTTTTAAAACTAAGCGAAAGTATAGTTGGAAACGTGAAAATTGATATATTTATTGCTTTTAAGATTTTTTTAAAAAAAATGTTTTTCATTTTTTTCTCAATGTAAAGTCAAGTAACTGACCTCATAACATCTAAAATGTATTCGATGGAAGTCTAGCGGAAAAACGAAAAGAAATAATTTAGGACGGTTAATTAATTACAACAACTGTTCACTTAATTAATTATGCGAACAGGAGTAATAGTTGTTATCGATGTATGCTACGGTTTATAAATATACGATAGTTGTCATATTATATAGCAAGTAAGGACAATGCTATTAGCAAGAAAATTTCAATTTTATTTGTCTCGATTAAATAAAGAAAGGATAATATTATTTTGACGTGTATTTGTCCTACAAAAAACATGCATTTTTTTTTCTATCACAGGTAAATATTTTAAAATCAATTTCATCGTAAATGATTTTTATTATTCATTTAATCAAAGTAATCTGTTGATTTATTATTTGAAGTTGGCAAATGCTATGATAAGCATTGTCCTTACTTCTTAATTCTTTCCGTCTCAATTCTTTCCCATATTTTTGGCAAAAGATTTAAAAATGATGATAAATGAGGCATTTTAGAAAAATTCAAAAAATATTATGATAGGAGAGTATGGAACAAATTGAATGAAATTCCGAATAAACATATCCAATCATATCTATCAATCATTGTTCATAAAATGTGACAAGCTAAATGTGTCAAATGAAATGAATGGATAAGATTGGAAAGAAAAGATAGAGAGAGGGAGAGAGAAAGAGAGAGAGAGAGAGAGAGAGAGAGAGAGAGAGAGAGAGAGGGAGAGATTTTGAAATGAAGTAATATTTGATTTGTGATACTTACCTTTGTAATTATTTCTCGCTTGTATTTCAGCCATTGCAATTGATGCAAAATCTTCCACTTCAAGTGGTCGTAATTCCTGTGATGATGAAGAACGAACCTAAAAGAGAATACTTGAATAGCATTAGATAATTTCATCCATAAATGATTGACAACTATGACCCTAACAAGAGATGACTTTCATTCTTTTATGATATTCATCTCTATTTCTGACTAAATTTTACATATTTGCTAATTGGTTAATTGTTCCCTAATTACTAAACAAACAAGTAAAAAATAAAACTCCCAACTTTTGTATAACTGAGATGGAAATCACATTTAAAATATTTTTTTTTAATATTAGGATAAGAATCATATTCAAAATACAATTAGGGTACGAATTAAAATTCAGAATACAATCAAAATAGAAATTTTATATATAAAATGCAATTGTCGAACATATATAAATTTACATCATATCGATAGGAAAATGTATCATACCTGAACAGATCCATCAATTACTGCTTCTAAATGCTTAATGTAGAGAGTAGCAAGTCGTAAAGTTTTAATCTTAGCTAATTTTTGATCATGCGGAATATGCGGTACACAGCGCTGCAATCGAGCATATGCGAGATTCATTTCCTCATTTCGTCGCCGCTCCTAGAAATCATTCCAACTTGTAAATTTTGAATATATTGATCTCATTGCAGTACTTTTCACCTTCTGAACTCATAATATAAGATTACTCTAATGATTTAGAAGTACATACTAGTTTTTTTTAAAATATCATAATGATAAGTAATATCTGAGAGATGAAAATAATATTGGTATTTATTTCCAATTTTATTCAATTCCAGCAATCACAAACCTTTCGATTTGACTGACTTCTTTTTTTCATGCATACATTTTGTAATGATATTTTACCTTCTATTCCATTTCTCATCCTTTTATTTCGCTCATTTTTATCTCTCCTTCAAAATATTTTATATCATTCTGTATTAATTAACATTAATAATTAACGGAAAAAAATTTAATACTCAAATTAATCGGTCACTAATTGATGGAATTACTATTTTTACATCTTCCTTATAAATTGTCATCAAGAATTGATATGAAAAAATATTAATACTTAAATTAGTATTATAACACAAATTAATAATTGATTTCAAAAAACAATTTAATTTATCAAACATAAAAAACTTATCAACGACCAGGCAGTTGGTATCAAAGCATTGGAATTGGATAGGAAAGCAATCTTCATGAAGAGTTATTTTCAAAATAATTCTTTTAGCTAAACGATGATCATCCATCTGAGGGCGTGGCATATCATTCTGGAATCTTTTTTTTTTCAGTTGACCCTTTTCCTTCCTTTTTATCATTCTATTCTTCTCTTCTTCTCATCCTTCCTTGTTTTAAATCACTCTGACACATTTATGATCATATAATTTATAGGAACACTTCAAAAAAAAAAAAAATGAAATAAAGTTCAGAAAAGCACTTGAATAATTTAGCAGTTTAATGCATAGCGTTAATATTTACTGAAATTCCTACAAATACTGTTTACTCAAATTATTATGCTAATTAAGGAAGCCATATAATGAAGAAATGAAAAAAAAAATGAAAATTAAGAAGGCCATATAATGAAAACATAAAAAAAAACTGGAAAAACTTTTAAATATTTTAGCAATTTAGTCCATGATATTAAATATTTGCTCAAATTCTTGCCGATGTTATTTGTACAAATTCTATATTAATTAATGAAGCCAAATGATCTATTTAAAATTATTAAGTTTCTACCAACGCTTATTCTTTTAATAATTTATCTTATGCTATATTACAATACGATATTTATCAATTATATCATCAAATTCGAGAAGTCAAATATTATCGAATTCGGAATAACAGAATAAAAAAATAAGATACGATCCATCAAAGTGTTAGGCATACAATAAAATAAAATATATTACTCCAATGAATATTAAAAAGTGACCAGAGAATATGATGTTGTTTATGCAGTACTCATTACAGTATATCTATTGTAAAAATACAAGGCGGCCGATGTCTTTGAAGAATATGAGAAGGGAAATTCGTTGTCACCTCACATCAGTTACCTTTTCGAGAGGAAACAGCTTATGAATATCGCAACATAACGCAATTTCATCCCTTTCCTTTACTCATATTATCATTGCCTATTTAACTGAACTACTTAATTTTGTAGTTCGCTTTACGTTTGCCGATACGTCTTGTCTCATCGTGTAACATCCCTCTTTTAGGTCATTCAACCATTATTTAGGTCATTTGCTGCTTTAAAGAAAATGTAACATTTTGAAGTAGCATGAATTTATTATAGAAAATTTCATAAATAAAACAAAAAACACAAATGTATCGAGCGAAGAATTTCTTTTTTCCTTTTTCTGAATCAAATTTTTAAATGAAATGAATGAATGATTTACTTTGAGCATTACGTCCATTCTAATTTTACTTACAGAAATAAATCCTTTACTTATAAAAGATCAATGTTTGCGCATAAGAGAAGTATTCCTGTGCTTCGTAACAGAGTATGATTAAATCTGTTATCACATTACTACTATTATCAGTGTAAACAAAAAGTTAAGTACGATAATAGTCATTTCAATTGAGGAAAATAAAGTATTCAATGAAACACTCAGTCAATCAAAATGAAGTGGATGAAATATCAGAGAAGCGTTATTCCACTTCTCCACAGCTTATTATTCCTAATCGCCAGGAATACTCGTCGGTGTACGGTATCTCAATTAACTTCCTCCCTCTTTTCCTCTTCATTTAATCCATTTATTGCTTTCTTTTTTTTAACTTTTCATAAATTACTGATACTTTATGCTTAAGGTCATTTCTTCTTATCACCAATTTATTAATTAATTATTTGTGAACAAAGGGACTAGACATTACATATCATTTGATTTACTCTCTTGACACTTAAGTGATAAAATGGTGACATGAAAAGTATCAAACGTGTTTGCAACGATCACTGATACAAAAATCTCAGCGTATATAAGATCTGTATGAATAACGGTCGATGTCTGCACGTAATTCGTGTAAATCCTCCAATTTCATGTAAACCTGATATTGTTTAATCTGTGCAAAATTTTTTATCATTAATTTATTTTATAAACCAAAATGATAAATATAATTGCGAATTTCAATAATAATAACTGACAGTTACAGATTTTGATATGGAGAATTTTTATTCTCCACATCAAATTTCAATTTGAATCATGGTAGTGTGTCATAAATGATAAAATATTCCAATATATCAATTTATAATCATTAAAGTATTATTCAAAATTTGAAATGAGTTTGGGTGGAGTCATAAAAACATATTTTCATTATATGGCTTTCGATCGTGTCAATTGAACTAGTTTCTTATAACTTTATATAAAAGTAAGTACTTACTCATAGCTTTATTTGTCAACAGTTCAATCATTGTAACTCACTTCTTCACATGTTTACAGTGACCCTACTCTTTTTCAACACCTTTTATACCGTCATTCCACAAGGTTATACCAATTTCATATTATTTACATCACGAATAATTTATAATAAGTAATGGCAAAAATGCCAAATTTATCATTTCTTACAATTATATTATACTGTTATGTTATAATCAAATAAGTATCAATGACTAATTATAATCAAGTACTAATGATTTCAAGTATCTGTAATCGTATAATCAAGAGTAGCACTTCTATGCGTCATTATTTGTTTGTTATAATCAAGTATCATTAGCTATTTGTTATAATTAAATATCATTAGTTCTATTACTTTAAGTAATAGGAATTTTATCTTTTTTCATGATTGCTTCACATATTCCTCCCATTTTATTAATTTAATCCGCATTTAAAATGTATGGCTTCAAAAAGAAACTATTTTTGATGAGAACACTTCTACGGATATCACATTGCGATGGAATGGCATTTTTTCTAAAGATTGAATTGAAAAAATCAGAAATATAACAATGCCCTGTCAAAAAGTCTTAGATCGGAGTAAATAAAGCAGAGGTAATTCAGGATACCCGCTGGTATGTTACATTTGCGATAGCATCGGGGAGGTTAACTGTTTTGGCGGAACATGTGTCGGTACCGCATGCATTAAACGTTCCGCTCTCATTAATGGTAAGTATTAGAAGTGACTAAATAGAACTTTTATATTCGGATTCAATTTTAATCATCAAAATAAAAATGTTCGATTTAACTCTCCGCTACATATTTAATTTGAAAGCAATTTTTTCTTAAGATTAATTCCAAGGATTCATGTATCCCAAAGTTTCTATAATTAAAAAATAGAAATTTGAAATTTTTATACAGAGTTAAATATAATTTATTCTAGCATTTTTCTTGTCATGTAACGTAAGAAATTGTGATTACATTACTGTGTTCCATTCCATTATGAACATAATCTTAGTCATTCAAAGTATTTATGATTTCATAAATTTGATACTGAGTCTTGTTGCAATATAAAAACCAACATTTATTGATAAAAAGCACAAAAACAGTTAAAAAGTTATTTCAGGATTTCTACGAGTGCAAAAAATGTGCCAACAAACAAGTGAACCATTATTGGAATATTGTGAAACTAGCGTTCTTTGGAAAGGAGGTACAGGTTCCGAATGTATTTGTCAAACTGATTACTGTAATAACACTGGAAAAGCATTTCAGAACAGCGCTTTAACTTTCCTTTCTTTTATTGTCGTTTTTTTTGCCTCGAAAATATTGTCTATTTTTGAATGAATCAAAAATCACTTATTGATCGGAGTCAAAAACCCAAAGAAGAACTTCAATTCAAAAAAAGGAAGCCGATGAAAATTTCTTCGTAGCTAATCAACACCTGACATTTCATACATGTATTAGTACTAAAATACGAAATACAATACTTCATTAAAGAGAGAAAAACAGTACATCACTTTACTTTACTTTTACTTAAAACTGAAAGTTAGGGCTTTTCTCCAAAGATAACTCTAATTAGTACTGCTAGAAGGGCCATTATCTTTGCTTCGTCCATTAACATCCATTGTGAAAGGAATGGGAGTTACAACGACTTCACCAAAAACTCCAATATCATCCCGACTATCCATCAATTTACCAGTATTCATTTCTGATATGTGAATGAGCATATCTAACATTCCATGTAACTAAAATATATAACCGTATATGTATTAGTATCAGATGTAACATATAATTATATGTACACCATTAAAAATAATTTCTGATGTTAAATATTGAACAGAAAGCTTTAACCTCAGTTAATTTATTGCGAACTTCAATTTCTCGTTGAACTGCGCGATGAAGTTTAGAAAACATTTTGGCAATTCTTCGATCAATGTTTTCATTCCCATAAATATCTGAAAAAACTGTTCAGCGATCACAACACTGTTCAGTGATTTTAGCAATATAATAGCAATATAATGCACTAAGCTTCTCTAACCAACTTATTTTCAAATTTATTCGAGCCAAAATAATGACTTAGCGTATCAAAATAATCCCATAAAAGAATACTATCTGCTTATCTCTCTTCTAGCAAAGTTCTGCTTTCTACCCTTGATTAATTAATTATCTCATTCCAATAAATATTTTAATTACCTTAAGGAAAACATAAACAAAACAAAAATACCAGTAACGTTATAATAATTAATTTCAGTGGTTTGAAGAGCTTTGGTGAAATAAAAAAAATAGCTAACCACACATTATGGTTATTGTTTTGAGTAATATATGCAGGTATTCGGGCCGAAAAAAATTCTGCATCAGAAAGACAAGTATTGGATGGATGGTGTCTGACTTACGTCCTGACAGCGCCACTGTTAATGCTCCACGTTTATAAATCTGAAAAAACAAAACAAAATGCAACTTTCAGAAAACGATTATTTCAATACTTTAAGAAGACTAAGATTAATTAGACATGCCCTGGATGCTCAGTGGTTTAAAAGATATCTGGAAGAATCTCACTGTAAATTAAAAAAAATTTGGCAAACAGAAATAAGCAATAACAAAAGAAAAAGGTAACCCGCGTCAGTGCTCCGACAATAATATCAGGACGTGACTTATAGTGTTTTTCGCGAAAAAGAACATCGACCGCTTTCCAGTGCTTAAATCGTCGCAATAACAAATCAACTTTATTCAATTTGATCTGAAATTAAATGCAGATTCGATATATAAATAAATTAACCAAATATATATAAAAAATGTGATCAAGCTTTCTGTCTTATGATGTGCGAAGATCATATGACTAAACCGAGCTGTGAAGAAAAGAAAAACCTGTGGAACACGGGCAGCAGTGAACTCAGCCTTTTTTACAGTTTCGCCTCGATGTTGTTGGTATACAACAGGTGCATTTGAACGCATTCTGAAATGAAACACTGTAGTAATAACCAAAGTGTTGTGACTTCGCAAGTGAAATTGAAGCTGATTTATTGATAATACTAAAATAAAACATCGCTAGATTGATAAGTATACGATAACTACATGATGAGTTGATGAGTATTTTCAACATATCAAAATTTGAAAATATGAAAAAATCCTAAAGTTCTGCAAAAGTACTTTTTATAGTATTCAAGTCCTGCATTTTCAACTCGTGCAGCCTCTAAAGATTCTTCCAACTTTCCTGGCTCGTTCCGCATGGAAATTTGCAACAAATTACCCATACCTACAGCAATAAACTTGTCATTTGATGAAATCGACAATGTGAGTATCTGAAATACCTGACAAAATGAGATGCAAGAGTTTTAATGAGAAAAAATTGGAACCGCATAACATCAATTGAAAAACTGGCTCTATTAATAACATTCAAGTAATGAAGATTAAAAAGAGCCAAAATTAATAGAATGATAATCGCAAATTGGATACTTGATCCTCAACATTTTTACAAGGTATTTCGTAAAATTATAAAATGTACCTGAGCAGGTAAACTAAACGAATGTACCAGCCTATAGTCACCGCTATCAAGGCTGAAAACATTCACTCTTTTATCGAGACCGCCCGAAAGAAGACGAGTACCTTTCGATGCAAGACAAAGTGAAGTTACCTGGAAAAATCTTTTTTTATGATGTGATGACGCTTCACATGTCATGATGAGAAAAAAACATTTGGCACAAAATATTTGAAAACAAAAATATACTCTTCAGCCAAGGACTTTCTTAAAAAGCAAAAGTGACTTATTCTGAAAAGAGAGCTCAGAACTAAAGAATTTATTTCAAGCACAGCATATGCTTACCGTTTTGTGATGATGATGAAGAGTATGATGCAAAACACCACCGGAAGCAATATTCCAAATTTTAATGAGCTGCCCACCGCCCGTAACAACAAATGCATCACCGGGAAGAAAAAGAACTTGTTCAATTGGTGAACCATGATCCATAGACATTAGCGCTTCATTCCCTTCTGTTTCAGCATTCCAAACTTTCGCTGTATGATCGTAAGAACCTAAGAAATAGAAGTTCTGCTATAAATTTCACAATCTGTTTTTCTAAATGCGACAAGCAATCGAAATTGATAGTAGGACATAAATTTAAATTTTAGCTAGAAAAAAATCAGCAAATTGAACACAGTATTACAGTATCCTTCATCAATCTGATAATAAAGAATTACGAATTGTAAACAAGAAAGAGAAGGAAAATAAGGGAAAAAGAAGCGAAAACGAGAAGAGAGAAGAGAAAAATCATTACCGCTTACGAATAGGTTCTCAGAAAGAATGGAAGCATCACTGCATCGAATGTGATCATTATGAACAGCATCGAACACTTTCAACGGAGTAGAATTCGTTTCTGTAATATCCCATAATTTGATACAGCCTTCATCACCCATTGTTATGAGTGTTTTTCCGGATCTTGTGAAAATTACCTAAAAATTAACGAAAAATGGAAAAATATCAAATGATATTGTGTGGAGAAATAATATGATCACGTTACAAGTGGCTGTAGGTATACAAGGTCATGTATGAATCTGAAGGATAAATTTTTGTTAAGAACGGAGTCTGAATAAAACATGAGAGGTCAAAATATTTATTTATAGAAGTAACCAGAATGAAAGTGTCAACAAACCGTATGGACTGCGCTTTCGTGAGCTCTGAAAATTCTTAATGGAGTTTTCTTCCCATCAGAAGTGGAGGTCTGTTTCCGTACATTAAATAGACGAACTTTGCCTTCTTCACCACCAACAGCTAAAAACATCATGAAAAATATGACAAACATTAAATTGGAACTACCAAAAATTGGAAAAGAAGGAGAAACTAAGCCTGAACTTCTGGATTAATAAAATTTCTATCAGTTAAAACACATATTTTCACCAATTAAAACATCATCGTTTTATTTTTGTTTTGTTCGAATAATGAAAACGTTTCTTTCAACTATTTCCTAAGAAATTTTTGGAGGAGTACTAAAAAACTACAGATGCAAGAAATATACTTCTTAGTATTGGATTTAAGATCCCACTAGTTCGTCACATTTTTGCAACCAGTTAACTTCTTCAATTGATATCATAATTCCGAATATATTCTTCTTTCTGTGAATAGTTGATGTTATAATCTATTATTTTTAAAATATAAACATATCATCGAATCACTATCTTTTAACAAAATAGCTATGATTTTGTGCGACGATTATATGTTACTTACATTACAAATGTCCCTTTATACTATTTTAGATTTTTACAATAAACTATTCAAAAAACAAAAATTCTACAGTAACTGACCTTCCACCTAGTAATTTTTTAAGTTGAAAAAATAAAAAATTGGTAAAATCAATCATTAAAAAAGCATACCCAGTAGTTTACCATCGCGACGAAATCTTACTCCATAAACAGCTTGCTTGAAACGTCCGTATGTTACCAAAGGCTCACAAATTGTGGCATCATAAATTGTCAGCTGAAAAATTTTTGGTTTTATCTGGCACGCTATTCGATTCTCGGATAACCGTTTTCAAAGAGAGTCTCAAAAAAGTAATATAATGACAGTAAACCTTGATAGAAGAAGTACTCGCGACCATATTGCTCCCGGTTGGCGAAAAGGATATGCTGGAGACATTACCTGGTTCTTGAAAAACAGCCAAACGCTGAAATGGTTTTTTTATTTTTTAAAGTCAACAACGAATGCTTTCTATAAGTGCCACTGATTAGTTTTTTTTAAGTTACAGAATCCAAGCAAAGTCAAGAGCAGTTTGCTGAATTAGTTATACCAACCTCCATGCGCCGCCAATACAATACATCTTTCGAGAACCGCTTTTTCATTTTGTCGCTCATAGTTCGAGCTGCCGGCTTGTAAGGCTCCGCCATTCTGTTCTGTAATTTCCCTTCCAAATGGCTATAATATGTAAAATACTTGCTGTATTAAAATAATTGTCTACAATTATGTCGAAGATAAACGTATATGAGGTACTGAGTGAACCTAAAGGATAAGATACTGAACCGAACAAAAATCTTCTAAACAAGATAAGTTATTTTATTTTCAATCGCAATAAAGCATTAACAAATCCACAGTTCATTGTATATGGAAGTTTATTACAGTAACATAAGATGTATAAATATCTTTGCAGATGAAGAATCTTAACAGGATCAGGATGAGCGCAACAATGCCAAAGCCCTTTCTTCGTCATCTAATAATTTCCTTTTACGTCTTCGTATCAATTCAACATTTCCGTTACCATTATCATCAACTCCTTCCTAAACAAAACCAATTAGTGGAAATAATAAAATTCACGGATACTACAGTTTTATTAGCATTGAAGGAAGTTATGTAAATGTTCCTTAAACCTTTCAATCAATATTGTTTCCATTGAAATAAATCCATTAAACTCTATAAAATATCCATTATTTGACTATAAAAAATACTCTTTATTTTGTTAATATAACATTAAACTTGGAAAAATAGTCAGCAAATCGCCTACATTATAATCATCCATAGAATTATCTTCAACCTCATTCCACTTTTCGTCATATTTTTTTGGCTTATCAGGATCAGGCAACCACGACAAATCTGGTTCGCCATTTGAATCACTCCTTTCAGCTCCCAAATCCAATATCATTCCACCCTCATTGTTTTGTGTTTTCTTCATTCTATCTTTTTGTTTCTCCTTCTTTTTCTGAATTACTACCAATACTAATCATGCCTTTTAAAAAAAAATGGGAAAAAAAAATCTGTAATAAAAATTCAGAGCCTTTCCGCGATTAAATCTATCCATAGAACTTCTCGTCTGAGAGATAAAAGGAAAAAATAAAGAAGCAATCAGAGTAAACTAATATAATAAAGTAATAAATTACTGAGTCTTTGTAATAAGAAGATACATGAAATAATCACCTTCCTCCACATCTTTTGTTTCTCCTTATATGTCATTTTATCGGCCTGATCAATTTGTATCATTTGACGTTTTGCCTCATCTACATTGAGACCGATCAATTCGCCATCATTTGGAACGGTGGTAAGAAACGCTTTACTTTCCTCCAAAAAAATACAGATAAAAAATCGCTTAACAAAATCCGAAATTTGATTTAATGGCTGCTAAATCCAAAAAAGAAAATTTCAGAATATTAAGCAGATACATTTTAATAAATATGAACTGAAATATTTTTCATAATTTGAAATAAACTAACAAAATTCAACTGCTCTTAAAGAAGAGAAAATCATACCAGAATTTCTGTTCCATCATCTGTAAATATCTTTTTTACTCCTAATTTCACTCCTTTTTTCAGAATTTTCTTCGCCAATGCATGGCGTGTCACAAGTTTTTTCGATTCCCTCTTCGGTTCCTCCGGCACCTCCGCAACCTAAATATATATTTTGAAGATAAGTTTAATGATACAAATTACAAACAGATTTTCGTAAACTGAAAAGTGTTTTTGCCAATTTCTATTTCATAAAAGACAAAAATATTGAGATCTTTAACGAATTTTTGTAGCAAAGATTAGATTGCGTAAATATAACCAACCTTGTCTGGAAATATATTGAACACGTTTTTGCGAGTTATTTTCAGAAAATCGCCGCTATCTTCATCTGAGCCATTATCAATTACTTTTAGGCTAAAATTGCTCTGCCGATCTCCCCTAACTTCATTATTTTCACTTGTACCAAATCCTAAATCGATTTCTTCATTCTCTATATCACCGTCTCCATCATTATTATTTTCCTGAAATATAATTCAGATAAGTACATGACAAATTTAATAACTTGAGATAACTTTACCGTTACAACGACTTCCTTCCTTGTCTTCGCTGCTGAAATCATCATTTTCATTAATTCTTCAGCACTTTTCTCCCCTTCTTGCTTTCGACTTGTGTTTGTATGTAAGTTCTGATGTTTGTTTGCAATTCGTTTCAAAAATCGAACTCGAGGAGTGGCAGCAAGTCCATAGGATCTACAAAGTAAGCTATGAAATAAAGATTGCGACAATTAATACGACCTGCTATGAACAGCTGACCCACGTATTTTGTTCATTTCTTTGCAGAATCTTCGAAACATTTTAATTGAAAAAATAAAGCAACCGGAAATGTAACATGTTAAATGAACATGATAAAAAACATTACCGATAACGAATTTTAAAACGTGAGGAATAAAACTGTCAAAAAATGCATATAAATTTCTGAAGTTATGAGAAACAACCAAATCATCAGTACCTGGCCAATGCCGCGAGATCGATCGTGTCCAAATTGAAAACATCTTTGTTCCGCATCAGATAAATTGTCCGAATGTAAGCCACAAAACTCTGAAATGTAAACCACAAAAAAGAGTTAAAAATATTTCTTCTCAAGACAGAAAGCTATCAGCAGATTCTTAATAAGTAAACCCTTTGCGCGAATTCCTTCATTCCCGGATATTGTGCAATTACTGACTGCAAACGTCTGCTGATATTCATTATTTGCTTTTCATTGATACTGGAAAAGTTTAAACTTTAAACTTTCCAATTGCAATCTGTTAATATTCATCTAATTCGCGACAGCAGAAAAAATCCGGTGCCAATTTCGATCATGACAATTACCCAAGGAATAGCCTAATACTTTTCAACTGTTTGGTTAATTAGCATATTGTAAAATTTCAAAAACGAACCTAATTTTAGTGATTGGAATGTCCTTTTCTTGCAGTCGTATAAGCATGGCTTGTTCTTGTGCCGGTGTGAGAACCAGGATTGCTTCACCTTTGGCATCCATCCGTGCTGTACGACCAACTCTAAACGTGACACTCAACTGATTAGACTGTGAGAAAAATTTAACTTTATGCTACACAGTGATGGATAAAACAAATTTAAAAAGATTCCAATTTCAGCATGAGAGAATGGAAAAATTTCTAGACAGTTGGAAAAAAAGACTAACTAAAAATTAGAAATTTATTGTTTTCTCTGACAAAACATTAATCAATATAGCCTGAATTCTCATTTTGCAAACAAAAACTGTTTATAACTAAAAATTAACCTATGAATATAATCATCAGTATCTACAGGACAATCCAACTGTAATACAATGTCGACACGGGCGAAGTCCAAACCTCGACTTGCAACATCAGTAGCAATCATTGCAGCTCCAATTGTCTTGTTGTTGAATTTTTTGAAAACTTCTAATCGTTTCATTTGATTCATCGTACCCCATAATCCCATCAGTGAAAAGCCCGGTCGTAGATGGCAAAATGCTTCAGTTAAAAACCGTGCCTAAATATACCATTCCTCCGATTACGTTATAAATAGTAAGCTACAGATTATGAAGATAAGTGAAAGATTAACAACAACCTGTTTGCAACATGATACAAATATTAATGTTTTCTTCTTTCGATGATTCAATAAAAACGACCATAAAGCATTGATTTTATCTTCATCACTGCATACAAAATAACTCTGCAAAACTTTCTCCATTTTCAACAAGTATTGAATTGCATTTCTAATAGCTTCTGTGATTCTCTCCCTCATTATAAATCCCTAAGTGAGTCATCAATCATTTAGGACGTCAGATTGCAAGGAATAGCAAGATCTTTCTAGACTATTCATAGTTTTCAGTATTTTTAAGATGCTCATAAAAAGCCAAAACTCTAATTCTTCATTAGTAGGAAAAATACTCCACCTGTTGCAGTGATTCCGGTGTAACTTGAGGAGCATTTTCGTGAGCAGATATATATAGTGGATCTCTCAGCGCCAAACGCACTAAATCTTTTACATTTTTGGTTTGTGTGGCCGAAAAAAGCAACGTTTGACGACTGTTTGGCAAGTTTTCCAAGATTGCATTAATCTATAAAAAATAAAAAGATGAAATGGATTACAATACTATTCAATTATTCAGTGCGATTTGTCTCCAAAAGTACAAAAGGCAATATAGTTAAACCATTCCATCTAACCAATCTTCTCACCAAAATTAAAATGCTCAAACTGCTACACATGTTCCAAAATTACAAGACATGTTTATTATCTTGAATAATACCTGTCTTGAGAACCCAAGATCTAAAATCCTATCTGCTTCATCAATGACAAGAATTTGTAATTGTTCACATGAAAATGTACTATTCTCGTCCATGTGTTGCAACAATCGGCCAGGTGTACACACCACAATGTTCACCGAACCTATTCGTTTACTTTCGAACTCTACATCAGTTCCTTGAAAAATGTCAATAAATTATTTCTAATTTTTTCTTAATGACTATCGCTGAAATATAACACAGAAAATGCTGTCCATATGAAAAGTAAAAAATGGATTTTGAAGGATAAGGTATCAAAAGAGGACTTATAGATTCAGTATTGAAGAGAGAATCACGACAGTGTTAACTTTCATGTTACACATACGATTTTACAGTGATTTAAAAAAAAATTAATGAAAACAAACACTGAAATTGAGATAAGCACAAAGCATACCTCCAATAAGTACAGCAACAGAAAACTGGTGGTGCGCTCCAATTTTGTTCAAAACTTGAAATGTCTGGAAAGCGAGCTCTCTAGTAGGACTTATAATCAAACTGCCTAATCCATCAACCGTGCGCGACCATCTTTGTCTCCACAAACATTCCAAAACCTACAAACCACAGATGAGAAACGATTCAAAAAGCAAAGACCATCGTTTTAAACAAATTTTTACAAAGGAATGTACAGAAATATCTGAATAGAATTCTATAATCAAAACTGACCGGAATAAGGAAAGCAAGCGTTTTTCCACTGCCTGTTTTGGCAGCACCAACTACATCAGCACCTGTCAATGAATACTGCAACGACTCGCGTTGGATATCAGTAGGATTTATGAAATTACTTTCTTTAAGACCTCGCTGTGTCGCTGCCGATAAGGGCATTTGTGAGAATGAAGTAAGTGTCCTGCTATCCTGCTGTAATTTAAACCTCTTGCATACACAAAGACTTTGTACTGGATAAGCTGAAGAGAGCAATAAATTAATTTAAAACTAAAACATACTTCCGCAAAATCGGCATATCGTGCGATTACAGATTCAACGGTCTCCTTTACTTTTGCTTTATCTTTTCGTCGTTTAGACCCATTCCGTAACTGACGCATATATAATGAGACTGAAAACCATGGCTGTTGTATTGGAATCAGATTGAATCCACAAAGTGACATAGATGATTCATGTAAAAGCAAAAAAAAAACTCGATTGACCAACATGCATTGTGGAAAATGTTGATCCTTAATGATAATTCTAACTTATATCTTTTCATTGATTTGAAATTTTGTCCAACTCTTCATGAAAACAATCTCATCACACGAAATAAATGATTAACATTCATGGATAGGAAGGAAAATCACTAAAAAGCTATGTACTCTATTAAATGTCTGTCCTATTTCATCAAGAATTTAAAAATCTTTTTCTTATCGAAAGTTAAAAAAACTACTGAATCCAAGAAATAAGTAAGATAAAATGTTAATGACTATCCAAGAAGGGAGATAACAAAAATATTATGGTACGTGACCAGCTCAAAGCACAACAAAATAAGCCAGATCTTAATTTTTTATTTACATATTGTTCGTGTATAATATAAATTAATTAATACCGAATGTATCACCTATAACATTAAAATAATAAAATGATAACACGGTTATCGTTTCAATTGAAATTCTTTGAAATCATCTACAAAATGAACTATTTTTTAGGCTTTTCCGGAGTAGACTGTTGCTGCTTGATAGATTGAAGATGCGACTGCGCTTCTTCTTCCATGGCTTGTTTCTTTCGTCGCATTTCTGTGTACTGTTGAATTTCTTTTTCTAATTCTTTATTCATATCATTAACTGTTTTTCCTTCGAACATCACTGCTACGGCACTTTCAACAGAAGGAGTTTCCAACTGCTTCACTGGCAACTCATTCACCATTTCCTTACTTTCCAAGTGATACTTGCTAGCTAAACGTTGCAATTGGTCTTCCAAAGATCGATGCGTCTGCAATAAATATAACATACAATGATCATTTGTCAATGAAATCACCAATAACCAAATATATCTCTAAAAATAATATGGACTACGACTCAGGTGAATCTAGTTTATATTATAAGAATATATAGTATGAGAGTTCATTTACTCCAGAAGATTGCCTTTAGCAAGAAACAAAAAATATCAAACAAATAAGAAAACAGCGGCTAGTCTTACATTTTTTGCAATAGCTATGGTTTCTCTCATTACTGCTGTAATATGTTAATTTCAATAAAAATACTAAACAAGATGCAGTTGACTTTCTTCTTGAAGTTTTCAAGTTAAAACACTTATAGCTGATAAGAGATGAAATGAAAAACTAATGCTACCTCAGGTGTAGCATCTACAAGTTCATCTTTGCTAGTCATCTTGGACTCGTATTCCTTGATCTTTTTCAGGAATAAATTCTTAATCAAGTTATTATCAGACTTGAAGCTTTGCGTCCCTGTGCTCATCATTCTCCATGCTTTGGGTAATCCTATTCGCAACAGCATAATCTGACAATCAAAGTATGACCATTTTAAAAAATACAATATTAATGAATCAACAGAAACCACCACCATACTATAACGATTAAAATGTCAATAATGCCAAATGTTAGTAAAAAATGATATGAAATAAAAATATCAGTAAGCAATAATAACAAGAAGCAAACATTTTCTACGAAGATGTCACAAGTTTCTACAAAACTTTCGAGAATTTTCAAAACCCCACCCCTAAAACTAAAAGTATACTCTGAAGTCTACAACCTTATCTTAAATAACCTAACCGCCCTCGGTCACTTTAAATGCCCCATATCACTCCCTTCCCACCTCACCATTTTTTCCAAAATAACCAAAAGTTCATACTTCGTATGGATACTTTATATAAGTGAGGCGCAATGAAAATTACCACCTCATCAGGTGGTCTTCTGTACAGTTTGTCTGGAATACTCAAATATTGAGTTTAATCATTGCATTACCAAAACCATTGATAAAATCACCCATTTACTTGTTTTGTCAAAAAACTAAAAAAATAAAAATAAAATAAAATAAACGCAACAAAATCAAGTGAAGAATTTGAGTTTAAAATATATGCAATAAAATCAAATAAAGAATTTAAATTTTCCAGCTAATCTATTGAAATGAATTTATTCGATTTATTTATTGTATTCATTTCATTTTCCAATATATTTGTTTACTCATTTATGTGCAATAAATTAATTTAACTACTGTTGCATTAGTAATGATCAATTCTCTCTCTCTCTCTCTCTCCCTTTTGTTCTATTGTCTTAAAGATTGAAATCTTAGCCTTACAAAATTTTACTGTTCTTCTTTTACAGCATATCGTTTTAATCCTTTATCAAGATTTGTGTACATTGCCCAGTGCTGTATTAAGTAATAATAGCAGTAGCAGCTGTAGTAATTATAGCTGCAATTATGATTGCAGTTATAAACTTTAATATAAATGTTTTAGCATAAACAAATGTGCCGCAAGTAGTTGTTTTATTTACTTAAGAATAAGATGTGATGAGCACACAATCGTTAAGTCCCGAACCACGAGAAGCATAACAATATTCTTCCTTTTTTCTCTTCCTCTCCCTCTCTTTCCTTTTCTTTTTACTTCCGACCTAATCTTTCTTCATTCCACCTTACAAAAAAAAAAAATTGATTCATCAAAAGACCACATTTAGTTGATTTGGTAGTCATTTCTAAGATATTTTTCCAATTTAATAGATATTTTTCGCAAGTTCAATGGCTTACAGCAGTGATTTATGCAAATCAATTTATAAAAATTACGAATTCATTCCAACAAATTTTACTTTTAACTGTCGAAATTTATATTAGTCGGATATAATTTATTTGATTATGGAATTCTTAATGTACTAATTCGTTGTCACGGAAATCTTTATTTGATGAGTAAGCAAAATGAACGCAAACATTTCATATTGTATGATATAGCGAAGGGCAGCAATATCGATCATTAACTTTATCGAATTTAAATTATATTTAAAAATTTGTTTCCCTTTTTCATGCCACATGCAGTGAAAAACCTTAAAAACTAAAAAAATTTCTGAATTACTGATTGTTTGCATTGATTTTTGATGAGATACATTTGCTAACTAATACTAAATTTACAATTGAAATTTACTAAAGGTCATTGATAAGTGTACTTATTCAAGTGAATGAAAATTTTAAAGAAAAATGAAGTTTAATCATTTATAAACAACAAAACAACGATCAATTGATAACGTGATAAGCATGTTTCAATTGAAAGGTATAACATTTTTTTTTTGTATACATTATTTTTTTCTTTTTTTTTTAAACTGAATGATTCATAGAGTGATATTTTCCATATCATTTATTATTCTCTATCGATTCATTTGATACGTTTGATTGAATGCTAAATTTTATGCAAGCAAAATTGGCAATACATTTAACGTTTTGAAATCTTAAAGCAATTTTTTTCTTTCTGTTTTGGCAAGAAAAAGCTTTTGTGAAACATAACGAATAACTATTCTCAGATAACATATTATTTTGACATATCTTCTGTTATAAAATGATAAAAAAACATATTATATCAGTCTAATCATTCTAATAAGCTTCCACGACTGACAAATACTAGTAAAAGATAATAAACGATTTTGTTGGGTTTGAACTTTGCTAAAAATCGTAGATATTATACTTATTAATTTAAGATATATCCGTGTTCCGCCTGATTGTTAAACATTATACGTACGTGATCGCATACACGTTGAAAATGTCTGTTCATATATCAATGAAGTTATATGCTCCATTTGATTGTTAAACAAATTAAAGTAATGTGATAGTATTTCTTCATGTGTTAAGGTGGACTGTTGTGCTTATTCATCATTGTAGCTGGAAAGGAGAGAGAGAAGGAGAGAAAGGGAAAGGGAGAGAGGAAGAGAGAGAGAAAGAGAGGGAAAGATTAGAATAGTTTCCATCGATGCTTTCTTCATGTTTGCATTAACAGAATACCTTTCAATTGCTTTTCAGTTGCTCATCACTAATTTTAGGTTAATATATTTCGTTTGATAATTTGATTATCTTTCAAGATTATTCAATTTTCTTGAAAGTAAAATCAAATGAAACAAACTGTTTAAAGTAATCAATAATATATGATCTCTTTCTTCTGATTCATTTTTTGGTTTTATGTTGTCTTCGTCTAATATTTGCTTAATTATTTGTCATTTGGTTGAAACAAAACTGAATCGTTCATTTTATGCTTCAATTTAAATCAATAAATTTAAGGTAGGATGGAAAGAGAGAAAGAGAAAAGAGAGAGAGGTGATTGTATTGAAAATGCGAAGTAAAAAATTGGGAATGATGAACTGAAAAATTAATAACGCTAATTTCGCTAATTTTAATTAGGGAAATGTACAGAACATTTTTAATTGAATTACATCATCCTGAACTCATTCTCCTTTTCTATTGCACTTATTTACTTATTATTTAGTTATTCGATCAAAATCTGTTAATTTTTATTTTCCTCCAGTTAACATTATCAACAATATCTTTCTCTGTAAAATAATTCCCGACTATCATATCCTAATGATTCTATCGATCTGCTTATAATCAGTTACTGATAACTCGTTGATTTTTTTTTCTCCTACCCTATCATTTTTTCTGCATTATTTCGTTGCTTTTCCTTTTTGTTCTGTATCTATTGATCAATCATCCATCAATTAGAATTCCGAAAAATTCGAATTTCATAAAAGTATAATATAGCACATTTCTACCTTTCATAATTACATCAGAAAGAGTTAAAAGATTAAGGATGATAGGTGAGAATACAAATGCTTGTATCATTGTGCATTTGCTAAAATAAATAATGACTGAAATATTCAACTTGTTTAAGCTATTATTGAGATCATATTTACAAATTACATTTTTAGATTAATAAATGAGTCATTGAACAATGCCGTCGTAAAACTTTCATTCACTAAGTAAAATATTTAAACTTATTTACAATTGATTTTGACGGTAATGATAACGATAATGATAACAATAATGATAACAATTTTGATGATAACAATCCATACCATATCTGTGAACCTGAGCCAAAATTTTCCTGATCAATTAAACATCAAAACTAAAAATGTTCACCTAATTTTAGCTTAATTTTCAAATTCGATTACGAGCGAAATTCCGTGCGAGTGGAATATTGAATCTGTTAAACGGGAAATGTTGATTAAGCTGATTCATATTTGGCCTTGTTATTTAATATTGATATTAAGTAAGTATTATTTTATAAATTATTGGTTACTTTGTAATTTTTACTACGGAAATAATTTTCTCTCATCTTTTTGTTTTTAAATAAATTTTCACTGGAATTTTTAGATTTCGGTTGGTTGAAATTTATGAAAATGAAATTTGATTTTTTTTACTCTCAATAAAAAATGGGGACACTTATCTTTTATTGAAAGTGAAAAAATCAAATTTCAAAATATCAAAAATGAACAAAAAAAAGAGCATCGCATTCTATTATGTATTGAAAAAGTTTGCAAGTTGTCATTGTTTTTCTGAAAAAATAAGTTTCCAGAAAAAAGCTTCAAATTAGCTAATAAAGATTACAAGGTTTACCAAGCTATACTGCATTTTCGCCCTATACAACGTATTTACCTATCGGTCCTTTTTCCTTTTCTCGAAAAAAAAAAACTTATCAGGATGTCTAATGGTTTTAAAAATCAAATGTCATACTCCAAAACTTTTATCAAAAGTATAATCGTTTACCGATAATTTTGTTTGATATGCATATTTTTATAGATGATATAGTAAGTGCTCAGCTACACAATCCGTTATCACATTATGTCGAGGGACGTCTCGGTAACAGAAAAATTTGGTGGTGTCCATCAGGATATGGTACACAATATTTTACACTTTCTTTCAATCAATATAACTAAAATTATCTGTATTACCTGTATTTGAAATATTTGTTTGAGCTATACATATGGCTTAATTACAATGGATGGTAGCAATTATTTTTAAATTTCAGGATATTTAGCCTATTGTCCACAACCAACAGACTGGGATAGCTACAATTGGTGTTGTACTTGGCCATATTTAGGCTCGTGGAAACCATCCTGCTGTCCATTTGCTGTTCCAACCGGCGCATTAATCGCTATAATTATTGCTTCCATTGTTTTGGTTGCTTGTAAGTTTTACATTTTTAATTAATTCCCACCCAACTCTTTTAAATATTAACGAATTATGGGATCCAAAGTAAAGTTTTGTCTTTTGATACTTTTTGATAATTACTATCATCCAATCATATCATCTGGTAATATTTGGAATATACAATTCTATATCGAACTATATATTGTTAACAAAATCACGTCCGTGCACTAATGCGGTGACATAGAATAATTGCAGTACTGATTTTTCTGTCCTGTTGGTGTTGTTTCTGCTGTCCACTGTACAAACAACTCTATGATACCGATGAGAAAGATTATGATGCAAGGCGTTGACAATGGAACTTCAGTCTCGATTATTGCAATGTCTTCATTTTCTATCATGCCTACTGCCATATTTGGATTTTATCGACCTATTCCAGATTTTAAAATTTCTTGGAGTGTGTTATTTTGCGGTAAATAGTAATGTTTTTAAAAAATTCAACCAAAATATCACGAAATTTATTAGACCATCAAAAACATCATTTTATAGCAGAGTGTTTAATGAGCATATTTTCAACATTTATTAATTTTGTCGAATTCCAGTTCATGGTAAAAAGGATCTGTTTAAGTGATGATTAAATATAACCGAAATTATTTCAACTAGTATGCATATTTTGCCACTTAAAATATATTTTTCAACAATATTAAAATAATGAAATCGTTGATCATGTAATATTAACAAGACATTGAAAGATAAGTATATTAGTGATGAAGTTTGACAAAAAATACAGAATGATCTCTTTGAAGTGACATGAAATAAAACTTAAGATTATTTTATAAATTGATTCATCATTTATCCCCTTTTCATGCATTTTATTATTTACTTTCATGCATTTCATTATTTACCTGGTGATTTCTGTTGTAATTTTTCTTCTTGATTTAATTTTCAAGTGAGAATCAAGTCTTAAATTATCCCTGTTTCTCTAAGAGCAGGAAAAAATCTTATTCGAAATGTTTGAGTGTAAGAAAAAGCTGAAAGAAAAAAATTTAGAAATTCAATTCAAATGAACTCTATATTTTCGAGGTTAGAAGAGTTAGGAGAATATAATTCTTTTTTTTTTTAAAAAAAGTGGAAAGGCCGAACTTTATTTTTTCAGCGATTTGCTCAAGAATGAATGTAAGAAAAAAGTGAGAATAAAAATTTAGCATCTTAATAAATGTTTCATACCTTTTACTGCTCATTTATTCAATTGCCATTACTTTTTGCTTTCCATCGCTATTGCGAGCTAATTTCAGTCTTTTTTAAAATAATGTTACTGCCATTTGTGGACTCAGCCAAAAATTTTTTTCCTTCACAAATTTCATTTCAGGAATAATTTTTCTGCCTGTTGAAAGAAACGCGAAGCTTATTTTTCGCACAATCCAAATCGATTCATTCCAGTCCTTTAGAGAAATTAAGTAATTTTAAAAAGATCTTTGAAAATAAAGCAATTCATTTGTAAAATTTTATTGATAATATTTAGAAAAAGGATTTTTTTTTCAATGTCAAATTGATGAAATTTTTGGCTCATATCTCCTTCCATAGTTGGCTTATCATTGATAAATTACTGCTTACTAATCTTTAACTTAAATTTTCATCTGTTCAGAAATAATCGATAATATAATTTCCATTCGTTTTTTTTGCCAAATCCATTTCATTATCATCCATTTTTTAGCAAAATTCATACAAATGCGCAAACTGTTTTGAGAATAATATTCTTGTCAACAAATATACTTTGAAGCTAACGCAAATAAGTTTCTACATTCAGTTTAATTAAAAAAGGCTATTGTCAAATGATGAGGTTACAAAAAAATATATTATGTATGGCGAAAATAATCTTTATAACATTGCTTTTATTTGTGTTGTTGTCATTTTTGTTACCTCATTTAATCGATGCTCTGAAATTTCTGTATATGTTTGTAAAGTGCTGAGTAAAAAGAAATTACAACTTTACTATACAATTGAAAATTTGATCGATAGTCCGTAACAGTATAATCCAAATTTTGCAAGATCAATTGGTACTGATTCGATGACAGTAGGAAATAACTTTACAACTTTTATTTAACGATAACTTTTACTACAATCTAAGCATGCAATGATTGGAATGAATCTCTATCATAATATGATAATAAATTTATCTATCAACGTTCCGAATTTTATGCTGAATTTTCCTGATGATAAGTGGGAAAGTTTATGCGCACTCCAAACATTCAAATCTTTCTCCTTTTTTTGCCACAATTTTTTTTTCATTAATTGAAAATTTTTCGAATAACGATCGATTGGTTATTCGGAAAATTTATATGAGTATGAAACATTCTGAATTTCAAATTTACCTGTTTTGCATACTGCTGTCGGAAACCCGAAATAAATTTGCGGTATAAAATATTTATGTAATCAAAATACGAAATATTGTGCTTTAATTATATATATAAACAAAGCATGAGCAGCCAATTTCTTACTCTACATTTGATTTTCAATCATTTTTAAACTTTATGTTATATTATAGTAGCATAAACAAAAAGCTAAAATCATGTTATAGCATAAGCAAAAGGTTAAAATGTGATTGGGAATGGCTCGCTTCCATCCATAAATTTTCCGTAATAAACAGGTGAAAAATCTAAATTGATACGATTTATATTTCCAACTACAAATATATCCCGAACAGATATATTGGAAATAAATTACTAAACTCATAAAAATCACAGAAAACATTCGATATGTTTCCGAGAAAGCGATTCAAGAATGTCGATTGCATCCGTGCTATCATTCAAACAAGGCACGTATACGTATTCTTCTCCACCATATTTCCTAGAAATTTATATTTCGGTTGAATAAAAATCGAAAATTTTACAAATGTAGTTATAAATCATATCCACCTATAAATCATAAATTAAAATACCGGAATGAATCGGCAAGTCGATGTTCCAATTCTTCCATTGTTTCCATGCAATCGCTAAAGAAACCGGGTGCAATTACCATAATTCGTTTCACTCCACGTCTCAAAATTTGGAAAAAATAAAAATTAATTGAAAAATTTCAATTACTCAATTCGACAAATGAAGCAGTTGTTTAAAATAGCTATAAATGATACCAAATCCACTTAAAGTTGTGATAATTTTATTACTTATGGCGTGTTAAATAGTCTCGTTTTAACAAGCTGCTAATAACAGAGATATGCATAATTTCAAGAAAAATTTTTTTAATATCTGTCAAAAAGAAATAAACATTAAGATCAGTCATTTCAGCTTTCATTAAATTACCTTCAACATATTTTGAAATAAGTGGAAATTTATTATGATGCCATAAGATTACGGAAAATTACGCTAACTTTAGTCCTAGAAATTTTTTTACTTGGTCAATTCGATGACGGTATCTTCAGTGTATGGCTTCAACCATTCGCCGGGTCCCAATCGAGACTGGAATGTCGTTATTAAGTCACAGCCTGAAGTTTGCCATCTTTGTCTGAAATTGTCATAATCCCATAAAAATTAAGAATTGATATTCGAAACAGTTGGAATGTTGTGCCAGTAATTATTTCCGCAGTTCATCAAATACAAACCGTAAGAGTTTTGTTGTATATTTACACTGGAACCCGTATGGATCACCATTAGACTGATATGATAACGGTATCCCATGATATGAAACAATAATTATTTGCGGTGGTGCTCGAAATCTTTTTAGGGCGGAATTCAGATGTTTAAGAATTGCTCTGATATACAATTCGTTATCATAAAACGGTGGCACCACTGATAAAATCATTTGATGACGTTGCTTCATTAGACAACGACAAGTCGAAAATTAAAAAAGTAGTAAAATATTAGCAGTAAAAAAGTAAAATATCATTTAAAAAAGTAGTAAAATCAAACTGTGTTGATAAATACGGAAAGTTGGTGAAAAAAATACTTAAAATAATGACTAAGAAAAGAGAAAGACATAAAAAGTAAATGGAGGAAAAAAAAATTTTTTTTGTTGCCGGAATGTTGACCATAATTGATGTATAATTAAGTTTTAAAATTCCATAATTTTATATTTACCAAACAAATAAAAGAATGCAAAATTACTTCATCGAAAATGGAGGCATTTGCAACCGCAGAAAATTGTGGAAATAGAGGAAATACAATAAGTTTATCACATCCTAAAATTTTTAAATTTTTTTCATAAAAATCTCAGTAAAATTTTGTTACTATAGAAATTTCAAAATTTTGTCCAAAAAATTTCTATTCAAATTTTTATTAAAATTATTGATTAATTAAAACCATTTTGTTAAAATTTTATCACAATCGTTAAAACCGATTTATTTGATTAAGCTAATTTAAGTTTCCTTAAAATCAATTTAAGTCCTAATAAGACTATCGATATTATTTATATCATTTTGGAGTGAAGCAAATTAGAGAGATAAAGTATTTAGTCGCTTCACAAACAATTTTTTTTTTCAATCAGCTTATTAAAAAAAATAAAGAAAAAGGCACCTTCTTTTTCCAATTTACATATTCGAGAACCAATTGATGGTTCACCGTATCGAAATGCCCAATCAACCATGATCTGAACATTAAAAAAATAATTTGCATCATTCGATAAGGTGATACTTTCAAAACTTAGCGCATCACTAACGCACACTTAGGATTAACCTTACCTCATTAATCTTATGTATCTTTCATAATAATTAATTTATTACTACTACAATAATCACTGTAAAAACAATGCATACTATAACATTACCGATTGATCATGCAAACGATTAGTCAATTTAGATGCTTGATTACGGGTCATAGTGCGTAATGGTGATTCGTTCTTTGCCGTATTCCAAATCGATCTAAATACAGTAACATTCCCATTATCATCTTTTTCTGATCTTAGTAACTGGATTAATTTAATAGACATGGCTTAATACTGTAATATTCCCATTATCATCCTTTTCTGATCTCTTAATCACTGGATATAATGAAATGATATTTGATAAAAGTATTATAATTATAAAAATGATGAGAAAATATATACAGCTTAAAGTAATTTAATAGATATGATTTAATTTCATTCAAAAAAAATTATATTACTTATAGTATCTCCCTATGATGAACGGTCCTCCTGTTAGAATAAACATATACAAAATGGGCCACCATAGGATTCGAGGTAATTCGATAACTCGTCGATCACTGAGAAATTCTCGCAGATAGCGCCTTATCGTCCAATAATCATATCCAGACGGCGTACCGGTATTTACCACAAGTATACCTATCTTTTTCTTTAATTCCTAGAATAAATATTTTGGAATATAAAATGGAAAAATTAATTGACCAGATTAATGACTTTTTTTTCATTCTTCTAGATTTAGTGTAAATAAATCTTGGAAAGAAGAAATATAAATGAATAAATATTGATATATTTAAATACTGAATGAAATGGCGATAAATCGAAAAGGAATCCATACAATAATGGGATACTCAAAAAAAAGAAACTTCTTTCCTTCAATGAGAGGATCCCATAATGGTTAATGGAAGCTGTTTATTTTGAACTACTTGGAAAATTCCAAGAAATTCGTTCCATTATGCTATCTGTTTGTGATACAATAATAGTCCATATACGGCCTAGACTGATTTCTGGCAAAAAATTTTCTGGTAAGAAAAAAGTCTCTATAAAGAAAAGAAAAAAAAGCTGCTGCCCATTTTGAAAGAGCTTTTCGAAGGAAAAGCTTCCTAGAAAAATCAAAAATTTAAAAGAGGCTTTCAAGCTAACAATTTAGCTAGCTTATTTTTATCTATTCATCTCGTCAAACTAGCAGAGAAGTTTGTTTGGAAAGATACGATGAATAATACAGGACATATTTCGAATTATGAATTCTGTTTACTTGCCCCGATATCAGGATGTCCGAACAACTACTAAGCTACGAAGTTTAGCTATGGGTAAATTAAGCAACGAGTAACGTCATTTCTGACTCTCGAGATGCATCACGCGATATCTCTGTCGCATAAGCCACGTTTGATTTGGTGAAATTTGAAAGCAAATGATTTATGGAAATTAAAAAAAGCGATCAGTGAACAAACCGGTATTGATTTCTTTTCAGTGATAACTTTACGGCCAACCCACGAAGTTATACGTCGGATGACGTACCGCAGTTCATTGTTTTGAGTAGCGTACATCATCACAAATTTGCACATTACACGTTGTGATTCATTAATCTTGCTGCAAACATAATGTTTCAAACAAAAATAAATGCTGATGTGCAAATTCCATCTTCCGTTAATTATTTACAACTTTGAAATGAATGACAATAAATTAATAAGCGAGTGACAACAAATTGGTTGCAAAACATTCTTGATCAATTGCATTGCTAAAGTTCGGCCGACATAATATCATGGATCGGAGAACGAATTTTATGAAATTTGTTTGATGTGAACACATGTTGCGTTTATGTTACGTTTTATGATGGGGAGAATGGCGTTTGATGATTGTTTTTTCATCCCAGAAATGGAGACAGTTTTTACGTGCTAACAATAAAGGATGATATTCAGATTTTCTAAAATTAGACCTCCGTTCACTTTGTATTTTTAAAGCGAGATTTCGATTCATTCCTTAATCGTTTTCATTATCAAGCAGTACTGTATGGTATAATGTACTTAATGTATTGATTGTACCATTAGTATAGCGTGGTATAATGCAATATAGCACGGTAGATATGGTGAAGATAAATTGATAAAATGCCTATTTCGCACAATATTATCTTTCTTTATCTTTAGCATGAATAATATTGCGTAATTACTTCAATTGATTATAATGGTACATAATTGTGATTTGTGACTTATGATTATAATTAGTAAAAGTCCCCAGAAAGGACAAAAAAAAATCATTTTTTCAGAAAAAGAAAACCAGATAAAAAGTAGTAAAAAGAGAATAAGAATTAGTTGCTCTCGCAATCTTATCTTTACGTAAATCTTACGTGTGCGATAGCATTCTCAATAATTTACCCATCATCTCGTACTACTTTTATGTACGCTAATGAGAATAGTATCATTTATAAGATGGAGAGATTTCCGTGAAGAAGCATTATGGGAATATTTGATAACATTTTGAGAATGTGTGAATGAGAGATTGGGAGTGAAGAGAGAAAAGAGCATAGTGGAGAGATAAGAATGAGATTTGTGGAAATAGCACGTTGTTATAGATTGAAAAGATGAAGTCGAGAGAGTTCTGTATTTTGTGCGCTTGGGAAAGTGGGTGAAAGCGTGAAAACCTTCTTCTATGAAAGAAAGTAGAAGCATTTTGAGAAACATCAGGAAATAAATTAATTCACTCTTAAGCATAAGATGGTGGAGAAGTGATCCCACGAGCGATTAATGAGGTGAAAGAAATTTATAAAATTAAATGCAATTCAATTAATTGGATTTAATTAAAATAGATAATTCAGCAATAACATATTATCATTATTTTGCATGCTCTTTTCCATATTTCTTGACTTTTGATTTAAGAAAAATAAATAAAGCATTTATGGTAATGAAATCTTCCTCATGGTTGTTTTATTCACAAGGAAGGGAATGAATGTTAAAATGTAGAGAGTTAAATTTAAACATTAACTTGTAGAGGGTTAAATTTAATTAATATAATAAGTAAAAGTAAAAAAGAAGACTGAGCATTTGTGGTAATAAAATTTTCTCGATTACTGTTTTATTCAGAGAGAAAAGAAGAAATGTCAAGAAAATAGATTGGCTCGTAGAAAAGTTGTTCAACGATATTGATAATTATTTGCAACATCAAATGTATCATGTGTTCAATTTTTGACGATAAAAACAAATGATCTCTGTAGAAAGTATTGCATCGTTCATTTAATTTTGAAAAAAGTTTCCTCTCTCCTTTCTCCAAATAAAAGAAAAAAAAAACTTCAACCATCTTTTATTAATCTGTTATTATCAATAGAAAGAAAATAAGATTATTGTAACTCTGTTTTTTGTTGTAGATTCTCTAAAATGGAGCAACAGCTCATCTTATCTGAAGGTCAAGAGGTTCAAATGCCCCTCGTTAACACTGATGAATTCAATAAGCAAAATGATGAAAGCCGACAGGAAGAGAAACGTGAATCTGAGATAGAAAGTCGACCTTCAACAAGTACTGAAGATGGGATGTGAGTTGTGTAGTTTAAAATTTCATGAACTTTATAAGAATTGATTCACATTCATTCTCATCTATTTTCTCTATAATCTACGAAATCGTATATTTTAAAATATATTGATTTCAAATTTTTAGCTCTTCAAGGCTGGTGTTGTAAAAAGAAATTGTTGAAATGTTAAGCATTTTAGTATCTTTATGTTATTTCCAGATAAATTCTTTCAGTTCGTTACCTGTCGTAGATGGTATTATCTATAACTATAAGTACATATCAAAAGTTAAAGATTTACCAATGAAGGATATGATTAGCAAGTAAGTTAATTTGTTTAACTTTACTGATTTGTCATTTTGTTTAATTCCTGAAAATTATTTGAAAAATCGAAATTCGCTTTAGCATATTTTGATACTCTCCATCTTTAGTTTTTTTGCTCCAACAAAATGTAGCTTAGCAGAATTTTTCTTTCATTTATTCGAGTTGGTTCATATTGTCAAACTGATATAAAGCTTTGAATATTTTGGGAAACAAATTTTTTTTGCTATGATATGATGGCAAGTCTTCTTTTTTTAAATATCATTTTTGTACAATTTGCAAATTTGATACAGTCTTGATAACATCAGAATTTATTTTTGTGTCAAATTACTTTGTCCTATACGTTTAAAATTGATATTGTAACATTATAATGATAGATTTGCATCATTGACATCGATTCAAATATCTTATGTGATTATTTAATATTTATTTTCAGTTCTGTCAGAAGAAATATAAGATTGCCAAAAATTTATTTAACTGGTCGACCTTTCGAAATTTCATTCCTTCTGGATACAGATTTCATTTCCGAGCGAGATCTTTGGGTGGACAATTTAG